TGGGTCTCAAAGAATGGCCCATTACTTTGCCGATGGGCTAGAGGCACGATTGGTGGACAACAAGACTCGAACGCAAGACTTTTATTCTACTGTTGTCAGCAGGAGGACCTCAGCAGCCGATATCTTGAAAGCTTACCACCTTCACCTTTCGATGTGTCCGTTTAAGAAGTTCTCCATTTGCTTTGCAAATTACATGATTTTGAGATTAGCAGAGAAAGCCACTACCCTTCATATAATAGATTTTGGCATTGGATTTGGTTTTCAATGGCCAATCCTCATACAGAAGCTCTCTTCTCGATCAGAGGGGCCGTGTAAGTTGCGCATCACAGGGATAGAGCTTCCACAGGCTGGTTTCCGCCCGGCAGAAAGAATAGAGGAGACAGGTCGCCGTTTGAAAAAGTATTGTGAGCGTTTTAATGTCCCTTTTGAATTCAATTGCATAGCATCGAGGAATTGGGAATCCATCAAACTCGAGGATCTCAAGATTCAAAGCGATGAGACAATTGCTGTGAATTGTTTAGATCGGTTTAGGAATCTCCTTGATGAGACAGTCGAGGACAACAATCCACGTGATGCTGTGTTAAATCTAATTCGGCAAATTAAACCGGATATTTTTGTTCATGCTGTAGGTAGCGGCTCCCACAATTCGCCCTTTTTCGCGACAAGATTCCGAGAGGCTCTTTTTCATATGTCTGCATTGTATGATATGTATGATGCTATTTTAGATGGCGACAGTGAAGAGAGGTTGGTTTTTGAAAGAGAGTTCCATGGACGGGAAATCATGAATGTCGTAGCATGCGAAGGTTCGGAAAGGGTTGAGAGGCCAGAAACGTACAAGCAATGGCAGGTTCGTCATATGAGGGCTGGGTTTAAGGCGCTTCCTCTGGACCAAGAGCTCATGAAGTTGTTCAGGAGTAAGATGAAAGAATGGTACCACAAGGATTTCGTGCTCGATGAAGACGGCAACTGCATGCTGCAAGGTTGGAGAGGTCGGATTATTTATTGCTCCTCCTGTTGGGTGCTCACTTAGGATGGTTCCGAAAGGAATGTTTTCTGTCATGACCTGTACATTACAGGGATTCTTCCCTGGTCGATAGGTCAAGGATTTTTATTAGAGTAGCTTAGAATGCACCTATTTCCCGCTCTTCTGTTTGTGCATGTATCTTTTTAATTGCAAACAGTTTTGAATCTGCAATGTTCTCTTGCTGTTATAAACCCTTGAGATAGGAAGATACAATTTACGGCGTCTATGCCGCACCGCATTGCGAAATTTGCTGATAATGTGTCGTGATTTGTCTATCCTATATCTCACAAGTTGTGCAAGTAACATGGCAGCTCGAAGCTGATAATGGGCATGGGTGCAGGATTAATCAGTCGTAGTTCGTGCTTTTCTCTTGATGGCTTTGTTGTTTACTAGTATCCTATAATACTGAGAGCTGTTTAGCTCTTTGAGAACTTGAGTATCCAAGGTGGGGCTCAAGGAGGATGTGTTTCCACATGTGATGCCAATAAATTATTCTCATGCGAAAGTTGTTTTCTTTCTTCAATTGAACTTAAGGGCAATTGAACTTCTGGATTACTTTCTGGCGTGCAGGCAGCCAGGCTTTGTATTTGTATCTCCGTTTTGTCTTTCTGTAAAGTAATGTGGATGGGTCAATTGTTGGTTTATATACAAGGGAGATCAAGTATGTATTAAACCAGTTATCGTAAGATATAATTGAATTCTCGTGCAATTCGGTCTGTCCATAAATTGTTTCATTTACACCAGCGACTGATAAATAGAAGGGGGGCGATTAATTTGATCTGCAAAAGTTTTAGCTTTTCTGCATTTAAATCAAGCATAATTATGCATACGTGGCAGGTGAGAGCTAATCCTAGAGTTCAGTGAGAAATATCTTTGTTAAAACTAGTGGGAGTGGCGGCATGTTGTCACGTCCTTGCAATAATAAGCTCCGATGATGGAAAGATCACATTAATTAGTACTTAAATAGTTTTCTTTTCCTCCAAAATCTAAGTTAGATTCATTGTCCAATCTATTTCTCAATAAAATAAACAAAAATATTTATGCAGTGAATCTATATCCCATAGTTTCAATAGCTATAGAGTTTTGGAATCGTGGTCATTGACGTGATAGAACGACATACTGATTGTCATGTTTTTTCTTCCTATTAATGTTATTAAATATCGTAGAATGCTATTCAATCAGCTTGATTTTCTGGTCAGTCCTGATGAAAAGTTTTTTCTTAATAATCGATTTAATAAAACCAGCACGTGCGTAATTTAAATTTTCTAAATAAATGGTGATGATTTTCTAAGTTTATGGTGCCGATGGGTAAAAGTGTTGACAATGCTGATGGAAATTGCGTAGTTCTAGTATGATGGGGTGCTGTTGAAGTAAAAGCTTAGGAGAAGGTTTTGACCAAGTCAGAAGCGGAAACTGAGACCGACATGCGCTTTTAAGATAAACATTCAAATTTCATCTAATTTGAATGATGGAAAAATAACATGGAAAAACAACGTGAAAAATTTCAAATCATACGAACTATGACACTTGTATTAATAACAACACTCTTTCGTCACGGGCCAAGAGGACTGCTGTTAGAGTTTCGACATCAGAAGGCTATAGTTTAAAAACGGTATTTTGTGGGGGACATAATTTGATGTGGCCATGAAACAAAAATGACGCGGTTGCTAAAGTCGATTGGAAGCAAAAAATTAGGGTTTATTGCTGCGCTCTATCTCTCTCCGATTTCTGGTGATGTGGAGAGATGAAACCCCAGGAATCAAGGTCACATGAGACGCCAAACCAATCACATTAACTGGGTGCACCCGAGTTCGAATTCCAATCGAAGAGGAGCCTCTCCATGAGTCGGAGAATGAGTTCTCGAGTTGATCGTGGACCGATTACTCGGGATCACTCGCCCACATAGACATCTAAAAAAATTCAAGAAAAATACAAGAAATCATTGATTTCTTAATATTCTCCATCTTTGTGAAAAAAAAAAAAGAAAAAGAAATAATGTTGACGTAGTAGAACTATGGACTATTTCCTCGCTGAAAACGATTGCCATTTTTCTTCCCTAGAGTCATGTTGGAGCTATATTAGCTCTGTTTGCTATTAGTTGTCCGCGTAATCCCGCCATGGAGAATTTTTTACACGGTATTAGACGGGACGAAAACTAGGCCCAATCCCCTAAAAAATCATCAATTTTAGGTCAAGTCTCAAATTTATCTCGAACTTTTTTTTGTCTCAGAAAAAATTCCCGAATTTTAGATCCAGTCCCAAATCTGCCCTAAACTTTTTTTTGTCTAAAAAAAAAATCTCAAACTTTAAGTCTAGCCCTAAATTTTGTTTTGTGTAAAAAAAATCATCAAAATTCAATTATTTTCAAAAGTATACCTCTGTGATCCAGTCCCAACTTGATGTGGCACTTTCACATCGATAACAAATCCACGTCAATAAAGTAATAGGGCTTTTTTTTAGACAAACAAAAGTTCGAGGAAAATTTGGACTGAACCTAAAAATTGAGTTTTTTTAATTAAAAAAATGTCCGGGTGGATTTGTTATCGTCCATAACTTTCACATCCTTGAACGGTTTTATTTTAGAGAATTTCAATAATATTTTATTGGATTTGATTTGTTATCGAAGTGGAAATACGACGTTGATTTGTACATATCATCGCATTATTTTGCTGATATGGATTTATTATCGACCCGAAAATACTATGTCAAGTTGGGACTGAACCACGTGAGTATATTTTTGAAAATAAATTGAAATTTGCTGATTTTTATTACACAAAACAAAATTCGGGACATATTTGGGATTAAACTTAAAGTTTAAGGTTTTTTTTTGAAGATAAAAAAAAATTCGGAGCAGATTTGGGACTGGACCTAAAGTTTGAGGTTTTTTCTGAGACAAAAAAAATATTCGGGACATATTTGAGACTTAACCTAAAATTTGAGATTTTTTAGGAAATTTATCAACGAAAACTATATATAAAGTGCATAATTGGAGTTTTTTGGAGTTTTTAATGAAACACAAGAAAATTACCCAAGAACCTGTTTTTTTTTGTTCCTTTTTCTGGTTTCATTTTTTTCTAGCAAAATAATATATGTAGCAACCAATCGGGTTTGGGTCAGCATCATATGCTGTGAGCTTTTGAGCATACAAAGAACAAAATGTAGAGAAATCGAGCAAGAAGCAACAACAAGCACTAGAATTCCATGTCACAATCAGTAAACCAACCGCAGCAAATCAAGAATTGACCAAATTGAAGGAAAATAGGGATCGAACTCAAACACTTCCCAACACTAGAATAGATTCGGGAAGCTCCGAGCTCGAAACCATATGACCTTACAAAGAAAGACGAAGAAGAGGGCGGGGAACGGAGGACTCACGGATCCGGTGGGCTGAACGGGTGAAAGTGAACTAGGAGCCTCCTCGGTTGCGTAATTGCAATCTTGCGAGCGATCGGCTGAAGAAGAGAATTGGAGACAGAGAAGGCTAGAGACGAGGAGCGAAGCGAAGAGAGAGAGACAGAGACGGTGATCGTAATCTAGATCTAGGGTTTTTTTTGTTTTTTATATTATCTTGCAAACCGGTTAAAACCGGTTCGGGTCGCTTTTCTTCAGATCAGGAAACCGGGCCAATGGTTCTAACGTCCAAAACTTAAACCGGGGCCTACGGGTGCACGGTGGTGCCAAAATTTGATAATTTTAGTGGCTTTTTTCCCGTGAGTTTTCTACCTCTTTTTTTTTTTAAAGTTTTTTAACAGCAGCCGCCGTCATTTAATTGGCTGGTCAAAACATAAACGCAGCATCATCATCACCTGCACCTCGTCAAAGCGGGACCCGCAGCTTTTTTTTATTTTTTCGGTCGGAAAAGCGGAACCCATAGTTGACCGATCGTTTCGCCGAGCGAAGGGGAGCACGAATCGAAGTGGGAAGATCACGGGTGCAGATCATCCGGGCCCGCCTCACCGTCTGACCCTTATCTTCCGGCGGGATCTTTATTGGATATCATCAAGTGGAAGTTGAGAACTTTCCAGCTCGCCTGCTTCCCGGAAGATTCCCAACTTCGCAACAGTCCTTCATCCGCTGATTCCCTCGTATAAAGAACCGCATCGATGAAACTTGTCATCAGATGGGTCTTTGTTCAGCTCCCCACCTCCACTTTTCCATTCGCGGTACGCAGATCCAATCTCTGTTTCCCTTTTCTATGTTGTAGATGAAAAGTGGGGAGTTCCGCGTCTTGTCTTTTCATTTGCTTGGGAGGAGCATGTCGATGTTTACTTCCTGCATGGTCCTTTCCCTTTGAATGCACTCCTCTTTTCTCCCTGCACGCGATCCGTCTGATCTTGGAATCTTCAAGTTGTCTGAGCAAACAAGAAAGGGAGAATATTGAAGAGTGAGTTCTTTTGTTGCAGGCTGAGACTGAGAGCATTTTACTCTAGTTGGCTGATGTTCTTGGAGTCCAAATATACTGGTGGTTTGCATCAAAATATATGATGTTCGGGTAGGGACTTTGATAGGGTTTGAGTGAGGAGAGTACATGACCATGGATCCTTTGTTCTTTGGTTACTCCTCTCGTATCAACGTAGATGATCTTCCAATGGACAGCCATGCCTTTTCACCTAATCCAGATCGGTACCCGAGTCCCACAGATGGTTTCTTTTTGGATGACCCTTTTCTTGACCTTAAATCCTCAGATACTGCTTTTCTTTCCAATAAAGTAGACCCTGTTTATGATCTGCCTTCGAAATCTGTCGACCTTGATATTGGAGAATTAATCTTTCCCTCGACAAGTGTGAGCTCGGGTGGAGGCCCATTTGGTCCATCTATGAGCTCGAGTAGTGCCCAGAGTCCGGGGGGAGATTCTCTCTCCCCATCGGGGGGCACTGACTCATCGGATCCGGTTCTAAAGTACATAAGTCAGATGCTCATGGAAGAGAACATGGAGGAGCAACCGTGGGTATTTGCTGATCAGGTTGCTCTGCAGAATGCTGAAAGATCATGGTACGACGCCCTTGGTCAACAGCATTCAGAGCAGTCTGATCAGAGCCCCTCGCGACTTGATATAGGCCATTATATCGAGAGCCCATATAGCAACCTTTCTGGAAGTAGCAGTGGTCATGGAAGCCACGATGCTACAAGGGTTACTGCTAGCTCTGGCGACTCAGCTGATGCTAATATTCTTTATCCAATCGAAGAACATGGCCATGCTGGGCAGGAGAGTTCTGACCTGGACTTCCAGTCGAACGTGGATTCCAGTTTGCAGTTGTTGTCCAATTCTTCCAGCAGCATCGCGAATTATGATGATGGGTCTGAGGAATCTTTCCATGAGCTTCTTCTCAAGAGCATTTTTAGCGATGGAGAGTCCATGATTCAGTTCAAGAAAGGAGTAGAGGAGGCCAGCAAATTCCTTCCTACCAACAATCAATTAGGAATTTACCCAGAGGACAGCAAACCGTCATCGGAAACAAAGAAACGAACGCCAAGAATGCGCATCAATGAGGAGATCAACATGATGCGCTCATCTGATGGATTCAAGGGACTAAAGAATCAGGAGAGGGACGAGGATGCTCTTGAGGAAGGCAGGGCCAATAAGCAAACAGCCTTGTACACAGAAGAGAGTGAGCTTTCTGATTTGTTCGATGAGGTGTTGCTATGCAACGAAAATGGTGGGGGTATGTGTTCTGGCAACAAATCCATGGAGACAGGACTGAGCAAAGACATACAGCCACAAAGGAACAAGCGCAGTTCTAATAGAGGTAGGGGTCGTGGTAAGACGCAGGGAAGCGGGAATATTGTTGACTTGAGAACTCTTCTGATTCTCTGCGCACAAGCCGTCTCTACTAGTGATTTCAGGACTGCTAATGAATTGTTGAAGCAGATTAGAGAGAACTCGTCTCCATCTGGCGATGGTTCTCAAAGATTGGCTCATTACTTTGCCAATGGGCTAGAGGCACGATTGGTGGGCAACAAGACTCGAACGCAAGACTTTTATTCTGCTGTGGTTGCCAGGACCTCAGCAGCCGATATCTTGAAAGCTTACCACCTTCACATTTCAACATGTCCATTTATAAAATTCTCCATTTTCTTTGCAAATTGCATGATATTGAAACTAGCAGAGAAAGCCACTACCCTTCATATAATAGATTTTGGCATTGTATTTGGTTTTCAATGGCCAATCCTCATACAAAAGCTCTCTTCTCAATCAGAAGGGCCGTGTAAATTGCGCATCACAGGGATAGAGCTTCCACAGGCTGGTTTCCGCCCGGCAGAAAGAATAGAGGAGACAGGTCGGCGTTTGAAGAAGTATTGTGAGCGTTTTAATGTCCCTTTTGAATTCAATTGCATAGCATCGAAGAATTGGGAATCCATCAAACTCGAGGATCTCAAGATTCAAAGCAATGAGACAGTTGCTGTGAATAGTTTAGATCGGTTTAGGAATCTCCTTGATGAGACAGTCGAGGACAACAATCCACGGGATGCTGTGTTGAATCTCATTCGGCAAATTAAACCGGATATTTTTGTTCATTCTGTACGTTGCGGCTCCTACAATGCGCCCTTTTTTGCTACAAGATTCCGAGAGGCACTTCTTCATCTTTCTGTCGTGTATGATATGCTTGATGCTATCTTAAATGGTGACAGCAAAGAGAGGTTGGTTTTAGAGAGAGAGTTCCATGGACGGGAAATTATGAATGTCGTAGCTTGCGAAGGTTCGGAAAGGGTTGAGAGGCCAGAAACGTACAAGCAATGGCAGGTTCGTCATATGAGGGCTGGGTTTAAGGCGCTTCCTCTGGACCAAGAGCTCACGAAGTTGTTCAGGAGTAAGATGAAAGAATGGTACCACAAGGATTTCGTGCTCGACGAAGATGGCAACTGGATGCTGCAAGGTTGGAGAGGTCGGATTAGTTATTGCTCCTCCTGTTGGGTGCCTACTTAGGATGGCTCCAAAATGAATGTTTTCTGTCATGACCTGTATATTGCAGGGATTCTTCCCGAATCGACAGGTCACGGATTTTTATTAGAGTAGCTCAGAATGTACCTATTTCCTTCTCTTCTGTTTGTGCATGTATCTTTTTAATTTGAATCTGCAGTGTTTTCTTGCTGTCTAGCAACCCTTGAGATAGGAAGATACGATGTACAGCTTCTATGCTGCACCGCATTTCGAAATTTGCTGATAATGTGTCGTGATCTGTCTATCCTATATCTCACAAGTTCTGCAAGTAACATGCCAGGCAGCTCGAAGTTGATAATGGGTATGGGTGCACGATTAATCAGTCGTCGTTCGTGCTTTTCTCTTGATAGCTTTGTTGTTTACTAGTATCCTATAATACCGAGAGCTGTTTAGCTCTTTGAGAACTCGAGTATCCAAGGTGGGGCTCATGGAGGATGTGTTTCCACATGTGATGCAGTCAAATTATGCTCATGCGAAAGTTGTTTGTGTCTTCATGTGAACTTAAGGGCAATTGAACTTCTGGATTACTTTCTGGCATGCAAGCAGCCAGGCATTGTATTTGTATCTCCGTTTGTCTTTCTGTGAAGAAATTTGGATGGGTCGATTGTTGGTTTATATACAAAGGAGATCAAGTATGTGATTATACAACTTATAGTAGATATAATTGAATTCTCATGCAATTCAGTCTGTCAATAAATTGTTTCGTTTACACCCCGGGGGGGTGGGGGGGGGGGTGGTTGAGATTGATTTGATGTGCAAAAGTTTTAGCTTTTCTGCATTTTAATTAAGCATAATTATGCATACATGGCAGGTGAGCTAATCCTAAAGTTTAACGAGAAATCTTTTTTAAACTAGCGGGAGTGGCCGCATGTCGCCACGTCCTTGCAATAATAAGCTCCGATGATGGAAAGATCACATTAATTAGTACTTAAAACAGTTTTCTTTTCCTCCAAAATCTAAGTTAGATTCATTTTCCAATCTATTTCTTAATAAGATAAACAAAAAATTTAAGCAGTGAATCTATATTGCATAGTTTCGATAGTTACAAAGTTTTGGAAACGTGGTCATTGATGTAATAGAATGAGATACCGATTGCCATGTTTTTTTCTTCTTACTAATGTTGTTAAATATCGTAGAACGTCACATTGATAAGACGATTTGGCTCTTTTGCATAACGTAAACTATCTATAAAGGAGCATCGGTCTCACAATGTCTTAATATTTGTATTGCTAAGTTGTGGAACTCGGGTCTCGGGTCCATCGAGGTCACTTATACTCCTGCAAATCAAAATCAAATTGGGGGCTTTATTTAATTGATACCATTTTAAAGAAAGGAGAGATCAGATTGAACTGCCAAATTTCCATACTGACAGGCCGGTCAATTTCTCCAAACGTGCGATTCCGGAGGGAATTGGCCCTTGCAATCCACTTCCTTGAATAATCTTTATAGAACGACTAAAAAGGTCAAGAAGCATTAAGCCTTACAACATATCGGGATTTGTCAAGTTCTGAATAACATCGGGTATCTTTCCCGTGAACTGATTATCGCTATGTCGCCTACAACGCATTAAACAACAAGATTCATATGAAGAAGAAAGAATAGAAGTATCTAAATATCAGTAGAGTTTATGGAAACTGGAAACTAACAGCATCTCCAATGTTGTCAATTTACTCTATTTCACAGAAAGCAATTGAACACGATGATCACATGGACAATACATTAGACCCTGCACTTTTTACCAAAAATGACAGCGGACTAGTAGTTTCCAGGAACGTTCCGCCATTTCTCATTAGACCCTCCGCAGGTTAGTTGCCTTATGTTTCCTGCGAAAAGCTGTTTGTTTCTTCATTTTCTAGGGCGTTTCACACCGGACAGATTGTATTCATACAAACGGCCGCCGTAGGTTTCTAGAGATGCTTTCGGTAAGTTTCATACAACGCCATTAACGGATGTGCCGCGTGAGCCGGAACACTCGTTCATCGTGCTCGATAGCCCGTTCAACAAGCGCTGCCAAGTTGAAATTCTTATGAGCTGCGCATGCTCGAAGGTGTATCCGTTCGAGCGTGATGCTTTAAATTGGACAGATTTCTCGGGAAAAAAACGATTGGAAAATAATTTATTGTTTTAAATTCTGGAATCGTGCTGTTTGCGAATGGTTATTGTCTCCTGGCCCCTCGGCATATTGCGAATTTCTCTTTCATTCATCGTACATGCCACATGGGCGTTTCAAATCAATTGAGAAGTTTGATGCTGAAAAGTCAAAGTCTCCGGTTTGGATCAAGTTGTCAAATATGCCTTTGCAGTTAATGAATCTTGTTGGGCTAAGCCGCGTTGCAAGTGCGGTTTGGCAATTCCTAATCATAATTAGACCTATCAAAATGGGTCATTATACAAATTTCTTAACTTATATATAATGAGCTAAGTTATTATATGAATTTATCATCTTCGGTAAATAAATTTAAACACAATATGTGTGTTAAATGTGTCATAAACGAGTTTACAATTTATTTATACACAACCCTATAAGTCTAGATCACACAAGACATCGAACTAATCACAATAATTGGACGCCCCCGAGCTCAAATTCCAACCGGAGAGGAGCCTCCACGGGTCGGAGAATGAGTTCTTGAGCTGAACGAGGACTGATAATTCGGCATCACTCACCCGCATAGACATTTATGAAAAATGCAACAAAAAAAAAAAAAAAACGCAAGAAATTATTGATATTACAGCACGCATAATTTGAGAATTTTAGTGATTTTTTTCCCCGTGGGTTTCCTGTCTCTTCGTTTTGACTTTTTTGTTTCACAGCGGCCGTCATTTGTTGGCTGGTAAAACATAACCCCATCATTATCACCTGCAGCTCGTCAAAGCGGGACCCACATTTGGCCGGTCGTTTCGCCGATCGAAAGTACACGAAGCGGAATACACACAGACGGACATCATCCGGGCCCTCCTTATTGTCGCCGACCGAAATCTTCCTGCACGATCTCTTTTCGATGTCATCAAGTCGAAGTTGAGAACTATCAAGCTCGTCTACTTCGCCGAAGATTCCGAACTTCACAGCAATCATTCATCTGCTGATTCCCTCGTATAAAAACACCGCATCGAAGAAACTTATCATCAGATGGGTCTTTGTTCAGCTTCCAACTCCAATTTTCCATTCGCGGTATGCAGATCCAATCGCTATCTTTCTTTTCTATGTTGTAGATGAAAAGTCGGGAGTTCCGTGTCCTCTCATTTCATCTGCTTAGGAGGAGCATGTCGATGTTTACTTCCTGCGTGGTCCTTTACCTTTGAAGTTCTCCACTTTTCACCCTGCACGTGATCCGTTCGATCTTGGAACCTTTCAAGTTGTTTAAGCAATCGAGGAAGAAAAAAAGGAGAAGAAGAATATTGAAGAGCGAGTTGTTTTGTTTCGGGCTGAGAGCATTTTACTTTAGTTTGTTGATGTTCTAGGAGTCCAAATATATTGGGGGTTTGCATCAAAGTATGATGTTAGGGTAGGGACTTTGGTAGGGTTTGAGTGAGGAGAGGATATGACCATGGATCCTTTGTTCTTTGGTTACTCCGATTGTATCAACGTAGATGATCTTCCAATAGACAGCCATGCCTTTTCACCTAATTCGGATCATTACCCGAGTCTCACAGATGGTTTCTTTCTGGATGACCCTTTTCTAGACCTTAAATCCTTAGATAGTGCTTGTCTTTCGAATAAAGTAGACCCTCTATATGATCTCCCTTCAAAATCTATTGACCTTGGTGTTGGAGATTTAATCTTTCCCTCGACAAGCGTCAACTCAGATGGAGACCCATTTGTTCCATCTATGAGCTGGAGTAGTGCCCAGAGTTTAGGGGGAGATTCTCTCTCCCCATCGGGGGACGCTGACTCATCGGATCCGGTTCTAAAGTACATAAGTCAGATGCTCATGGAAGAGAACATGGAGGAACAACCGTGGGTATTTGCTGATCAGGTTGCTCTGCAGAATGCTGAAAGGTCATGGTACGACGCCCTTGGTCAACAGCATTCAGAGCAGTCTGATCAGAGCCCCTCACGACTTGATATAGGCCATTATATCGAGAGCCCTTATAGCAACCTTTCTGGAAGTAGCAGTGTTCATGGAAGCCACGATGCTACAAGCGTTACTGCTAGCTCTGGCGACTCAGCTGATGCTAATATGCTTTATCCAATAGAAGAACAAAGCCATGCTGGGCAGGAGAGTTCTAACCTGTACTTCCAGTCGAATGTGGATTCCAGTTCGCAGTTGTTGTCCAATTCTTCAAGCAGCATCGCGAATTATGATGATGGGTCTGAGGAATCTTTGCATGAGCTTCTTCTCAAGAGCATTTTCAGCGATGGAGAGTCCATGATTCAGTTCAAGAAAGGAGTAGAGGAGGCCAGCAAATTCCTTCCTACGAACAGTCAATTAGGAATTAATCCAGAGGACGGCAAACCGCCATCGGAAAAAAAGAAAAGAACCCCCAGAACTCGCATCGATGAGGAGATCAACATGATGCGCTCATCTGATGGATTCAAGGGATTAAAGAATCGTGAGAGGGACGAGGATGCTTTTGAGGAAGGCAGGGCCAATAAGCAAACAGCCTTGTACACAGAAGAGAGTGAGCTTTCCGATTTGTTCGATAAGGTGTTGCTCTGCCACTGTTCTGGCGACAAGTCCGTGGAGACAGGGCTGCGCAAAGACATCCAGCCACAAAGGAACAAGCGTGGTTCCAATAGAGGTGGGGGTCGTGGTAAGAAGCAGGGAAGCAAGAAAACAGTTGACTTGAGAACTCTTCTGAGTCTCTGTGCACAAGCGATCTCAACTAGTGATTTCAGGACTGCTAATGAATTGTTGAAGCAGATTAGAGAGAACTCTTCTCCATCTGGCGATGGGTCTCAAAGATTGGCCCATTACTTTGCCAATGGGCTAGAGGCACGACTGGTGGGTAGCGACAGTCGAACACAAGACTTTTATTCTACTATTTTTGCTAGGAGGATCTCAGCAGCCGATGTCTTGAAAGCATACCACCATCACATTTCAAAATGTCCGTTTAAGAAGTTCGACATTTTTTTTGCAAATTACATGATTTTGAAATCAGCAGAGAAAGCCCCTTCCCTTCATATAATAGATTTCGGCATTCGGTTTGGTTTTCAATGGCCAGTCCTCATACAGAAGCTCTCTTCTCGACCAGAAGGGCCCTGTAAATTGCGCATCACAGGCATAGAGCTTCCGCAGACTGGTTTGCGCCCAGCAGAAAGAATAGAGGAGACAGGTCGCCGTTTGAAAAAGTATTGTGAGCGTTTCAATGTCCCTTTTGAATTCAATTTCATAGCATCAAGGAATTGGGAATCCATCAAACTTGAGGATCTCAAGATTAAAAGCAATGAGACAGTTGCTGTGAATTCTTTAGACCGGTTTCAGAATCTCCTTGATGAGACAGTTGGGGACAACAATCCACGAGATGCCGTGTTAAATCTAATTCGGGAAATTAAACCGGATATCTTTGTTCATGCAATAAGAAACGGCTCCTACAATGCGCCCTTTTTTGTGTCAAGATTCCGAGAGGCACTTTTTCATCTTTCCTCAGTGTATGATATGTTTGATGCTATTTCAGATGGCAACAGCAAAGAGAGATTGGTTTTTGAGAGAGAGCTCCATGGACGGGAAATTATGAATGTCATAGCATGTGAAGGTTCAGAAAGGGTAGAGAGGCCAGAAACGTACAAACAATGGCACGTTCGTCATATGAGGGCTGGGTTTAAGGCGCTTCCTTTGGACCAAGAGCTCATGAAGTTCTTCAAGGGTAAGATGAAAGAATGGTACCACAAGGATTTTATGCTTGATGAAGACGGCAGCTGGATGCTGCAAGGTTGGCGAGGTCGGATTAATTATGGCTGCTCCTGTTGGGTTCCCACTTAGGTTGGTCAGAAAGAAAATGTTTTCTGTCATGACCTGTACATTACAGGGATTCTTCCCAGGCAACAGGTCATGGATTTGTATTAGAGTAGCTAAGAATGTACTTATTTCCAGCTCCTCTGTTGGGCATGTATCTTTTTTCTTGAAAACAATTTCGAGTCTGGAATGTTTGCTTACTATTTATCTCATTCTTGAGATAGGAAAGATACACTTTGCAGCTTCCATGCCACACGGCATTGTGAATTTTGCTGATAATGCGTCCATGATTTGTCTATCCTATATCACAAGTTGGTGCAACTAATATGGCAGCTTGAAGCTGATGATGGGTACGGGTGCAGCACTGTCATGTATGGTTTGTGCTGTTCTCTTGATGGCTCTGTTGTTTACAAATATCCTATAATACTGAAAGCTGTTTGGCTCTATTGAGAACTTGAGGAGCAGTAGGATGCAGTTTCTGTCTTCAAGTAACTTAAGGGCAATTTGAACTTCAGGATACTTTCTCCTCCGGTATTCAGGCGTCATATTTATAACTCCGTTTGGTTATTCAGCGAAGAAATTTCGATTTATATACAACGGAGATCAAGTACGTGATTAAACTCGAACAAAACTAATGATTGTTTGTATCATTGAATGCTTATGCTAGTCAGTCTCGTCTTTAGACTGTTTCTTTTACACCACGCGGCTGATAAAATATGGGGGTGAGTATCTTCAAAAGTTTTATGCGTTTCTATATCTTAATTAAGCATAATTCTGCATGCGTCGCAGTTGAGCGCTAATCCTAAAGTTTAATGAGAGATATCTTTATTAAACCGGTAAGAATGCCTGCATGTTGCTGCGGCCTTGCAATAATAAGCTCCGGTGATGGAAAGATCACATTAATTAGTACTCAAAGTTTCTTTTCTCTCCGAGACGTAAGGCTCCATTTGTTTCGCGACATTTTCCTAAAAATTTATGATTTAGAAAACATTTCCTAAAAATGATCGCTTGTATAACTTGAAATAATTAATCAATATAAAATATTTTATGTATCAGACAACAATTTATATCTAAACATTTTCGTGGACGATGAAAATACTTTTCATTCATTTATTTTTGTAAGCGATCATTTTTAGGAAAATATTTTCCAAATTAAATGCATTTTCCAATCTATTTCTCATTAAAATAAAAGGAAATGTTTGTGCAGTGATCTATATTGCACGGTTTCAATAGTTACCGAGTTTTGCAATCGTGATCATTGATGTTATAGAACGGGACACTAACTGTTATGTTTTTTCTTTCTGCTAATGTTGTTAAATATCGCAAAATGCTATTCAATTAGATTAATGTTTTTTGTCTTGTCCCGCTGGGTGAAAATTTTATTTTAATAATCGCTGTAATAGTATTGACACGGGTGTGATTAAAATTGACTAAATGAATGGTCATGATTTTTTAGGTTTATGCTGCGCATGTGTAAAAATCTTGACAATGCTTATGGAAAGTTCCTAGTTCTACTGATGAGGCGCTTGAGCCACCACATAGGACAATCGGCGAAGATTCAAATACCACGTCAGTAATTTTTGACTAAAATTGACCTCATGGACCACATTAAAATTTTGCGCCAAGGTTTAGTCAAATTTAAAAGTTTAGAATTGAATTGATATTTGTAAAATATGTTTATGATATTTGGTATAATTTTCCCCATAATTTGACGTGGACATGAAATAGACATGACTCCGTTTTGGTTGCTCAAGTCGATTTGGAGCAAAGAGAGAAAATATTTAGTGATTTGCTACTGCGTATATATATATTTTTGTCCAACAATTGAAAACTTGACAAGTGTCTACTGATATGGAATTGAATAGAAAAATTATGAGTTCAGGCATGAAGACCGGAAGTTTCTTGCTTCACCGGAGTTGCCCCGCGCTGTTGCTAACAGTGGGAGTCACTGGCACGCCGCGCCCTTACCATCAAAGCCGAGCCATCCCTTACAGCGTCGCTCATGGTCAGCCCCAAGCCACTCCTCCGCCGTCGCTCGTCTAGTTTTTTCATTTGGAGTCGTGCTTGTCTAAAGTAGGACTTGGAGTCGTGCCTCCATGGCCACGAGCATAGATCCGGCCACCATAGCTGGTTCACATATCCCGCCGAGCCACCCCTTCGTCGTCATCTCACAGCTCATTGACAGGCTTCGTTTTTTCTTTAGCTTGCCACGAATGAAGGGCCAAACCTTCGAAATCAACCCGACGAAGAAGAAGATTATTTAATTACTAGGAATTGTTCTAATGGCCACCCTTCCCATATGAGAAGGGAGGGGAGGAGAGTTCGAATCCCGATCTTCTCAGGGGGGTTGGGGGTGACGGGTGAGGACGTTTAGTTTCAGATGTAGGTTTCAACTTCCACGCTCTGTAAGGGGACAAGGTAAAAATTTGAGAGTGGGATGAGAGTTAGAGTACGATAAGATAAAAAAAAGAAGAAGAAAATTATCCGGAAAAGAACCATAAAAAATTTCTAGGTAGTCTTTACCCTTTGCGGGTCATCAGAGGACCCATCTCTCTCTTGCCTCTCCTTTCACCTTTCATCTAATCCACCTAACCCAAAAAAAATTGGATAATGAGACTATCCCTTTCACCTTTCATCTAACCCGCTAAACCTAAAAAATTTGGATGATGATCCTCTCCCTTTCACTTTTCCTCCAACCCCAAGCATCAATCCAAAAAAAAAAATCGTAAAAAAAATATATTACTCTTTTTGTCAATATCTTTCGAAATCAAAGAAACCCTGGATAATCGATACAAAATTTGATCCTTTCGTCCATGGCCGAGTCGCTCGTGATAGGGTCACAAAGGCGACAGAGGAGCAGTGCTCGCTCTCGACTACGACGCTGGCGATGACTCCGCTGGTGGCGACGACGAGGGGAGCGGAGGTTGGCTGGTTGTGGACGAAGGAGTAAGAGAGAAATGGAAGGTTTTTAATTTTTACTTCACGGTAGTTTGCTGTTGTGACATTGTACAAACGTGTCAAGTTTTCGGTGGTTGTGAGAAAAAAAAATGCACAACAATAAAATGATAATTGCAAATCATTGAATATTTGATAAAAAAATTAGGTTTCATCGTGCTCTCTTTCTCTTCCTTTCTCTCTGGTTTCCATTAACGTCGAGAGACGAAATTCTATTATCAAAGTCACACGCGACGCCCAACCTATCACAGTAATTGGATGTACCCGAGCACGATGGATTATTTTTCAGATAAAAATCACGTTTTGTCTTCGTCAAAGTCCTGTATGCTCACGCAACCCGCCACCTGAATTTCTAACGTTGGTCATGAACAGTACTGCCACGGATGCTATTGATAGTCACAGATTAACATCACATATAGTTTGACATTTTTAATAGCACAAAACAATGGGCTTAATTGGACAATTAGGGTGGTTTTTTTCCCTTTGACTTGCCTCTCTTTGTTTACAGTTTTTCGCATCGCAGCCGCCCTCATTCATTGGCCGGTCAACGTAACAACACATCATCATCTGCAACTGATGGAAAGCGGGACCCACGGTTGACCAATTCTTTTCCCCGATCGAAGGAACTCGAAGCGGATGACACATCTGGAGATCAACCGGGCCCTCTGCCCTCGCCGGCAGAGGGCCAGCCTCGCCGTCGCCGGGCAAGGTCGACCTCGCCGGCGGCGGCGATGGCTCGCCGCCGGCCGGGCTAGCTCGACCTCGCTCGGCCATGGCGAGGCTCGACTCGCCCCGCGACGGCGAGGCCTCGCCCGGCCAAGGCGAGGTCGGCCTCGCCCGACGGCGAGGCCGCCCGCAGCTCGCCGAGGCCATGGCGACTGGGCGAGATCTCGCCAGATCGGGCGGCCTCGCCGTATGCCGGCGTGGACCTCGCCCATGGCCGGCGAGGTGGACCTCGCCCTGGCCATGGCGAGGTCGACCTCGCCGGCCTCAGCCTCTCGCCGGTCGCCGGTCGGGAAGAAGATAGGCCAGAAAAAAAAAAAGAAAGAGAAAAAAAAAATTCGAAAAATAATAAAAAAATTATTAAAAATTAGCCGGCCGGCGTCACGTCAGCCGGCCGGCGTCAACGTCAGCGCCGGCCGGCCAAAAGTGGCCGGATGGACTGAATTGACACAATTACAAAAGGTTTAAGACTGAATTGATAAAAAAAAAAGATTTAAGACCGAAGTGCCACAATTGCAAAAGATTTAAGACTTTTTTGGTAATTTTCCCTCCTTTTGTATGCTGATTCCCTCCTATAAAAATCGCATCGGAGAGTGACCATTCCTCAGTTGGCTTCCAGCCCAACTTTTCCATTTTTACGGTACGCAATCCCATCTCTATTTCTCTTCTCTATGTTGTAAACGAAAAACCGAAAGTCGGGTCTCCATTCAGCCATTGATTTCTGTGTCTTCTCATTTCATTTGCTTTAGGGAGGAGCATGTCGATGTTTACTTCCTGCGTGGTCCTTTCCCTTTGAAGTACTCCGCTTTTCTCCCTTCTTGTGATCTGTTATTCTTCGACTTCAATCGACGTTGTTTAAGCAAACGAAGAAAAAAGCAAACAGAAGAACATTGAAGAGTGAGTTCTTTTGTTGCAGCAGGCTGAGAGCATTTTACATTAGCTGGTCCATGTTCTGGGGGTCCAAATATACTGATGGTTTGCATCAAAGTTTGATGTTAGCGGATGGAGTTTGATAAGGTTTGAAGAGGAGATGGCCATGGATCCTTTGTTCTTTGATTACTCGGCTTGTATCGATCCGGATGATCTTCCAATAGACAGCCATGTCTTTTCACCTAATCCAGATCAGTACCCGAGTCTGGCAGATGGTTTCTTTTTGGATAACCCTATTCTAGACCTTGAATCCTCGGATAGTGCTTTTCTTTCGAATAAAGTAGACCCTGTAACCAATCTCCCTTCGAAATCTGTCGACCTCGATAACGGAGATTTAATCTTTCCCTCGACAATGGTGGGCCTAGATGGAGGCTCATTTGGTCCATCCATGAGCTCGAGGAGGGGCCAGAGTCCAGAGGGAGATTCTCTCCCCCCCTCGGGGGACATCGACTCATTGGATCCCGTTCGAAAGTACATAAGTCAGATGCTTATGGAAGAGAACATGGAGGAGCAACCGTGGGTATTTGCCGATGAGGTTGCTCTGCAAAATGCTGAAAAATCATTGTACGATGTCCTTGGTCAGCAGCATTTGGAAGAGTCTGATCAGAGCCCCTCACAGGTTGATTTAAGCCATTATATAGAGAGCACAACTAGCAACCTTTCTGGAAGTAGCAGTGCTCCCAGAAGCCATGATGCTATAAACGTTACTTTCAGCTCCAGCGACTCAGCCGATGCTAATATTCTGCATACAATCGGAGATCATAGCCATGCTGTTGTGAAAAATCCTGACCAAGACTTCCAGTCGAATGTGGATTCCATTTCGCAGTTCTTGGCCAATTCTTCAAACGGCATCACCAATCATGATGATGGGTCTGAGGAATCTTTGCATGGGCTTCTTGTCAAGAGCATTTTAAGCGATGGAGAGTCTATGATTCAGTTTAAGAAAGGATTAGAGGAGGCCAGCAAATTCCTTCCTACCAACAATCAATTACGAATTAATCCAGAGGACAGCAAACCGTCATCTGAAACAAAGAAAGGAACCACAAGAACGCGTATCAATGAGGAAATCAACATGAAGGGGTCATCTAATGGATTGAAGGGATTAAAGAATCGCGAGAGGGACGAGGATGCTTTTGAGGAAGGCAGGGCTAGTAAGCAAACAGCCTTGTACGCAGAAGAGGGTGAGCTTTCAGATTTATTCGATAAGGTGTTGCTCTGCACCGAAAATGGTGGGGGTATGTGTTCTGGCGATGAATCTGGGGAGACCGGGCTGAGGAAAGACATACAGCTACAAAGGAACAAGCGCGGTTCCAATAGGGGTAGGGTTCGTGGAAAGAAGCAGGGAAGCAAGAATACTGTTGACTGGAGAACTCTTCTGATTCTCTGTGCACAAGCTATCTCTACTAGTGATTTCAGGACTGCTAATGAATTGTTAAAGCAGATTAGAGAGAACTCTTCTCCTTTTGGGGATGCCTCTCAAAGATTGGCCCATTACTTTGCCAATGGGCTGGGGGCACGATTGGTGGGCAACAACATTCGAACGCAAGACTTTTATTCTACTGTTGTTGCCAGGACGACTTCAGCTGCTGATGTCTTGAAATATTACCACCTTCACATTTCAACATGCCCGTTTAAGCAGTTCTCCATGTTCTTTGCCAATTTCATGATTTTTAAATTTGCAGAGAAAGCCACTACCCTCCACATAATTGATTTCGGCATTGCATTCGGTTTTCAATGGCCAATCCTCATACAGAAGCTCTCTTCTCGATCAGAAGGGCCTTGTAGATTACGCATCACAGGGATAGAGCTTCCACAGGCTGGTTTGCGCCCGGCAGAAAGACTAGAGGAGACAGGTCGCCGTTTGAAAAAGTATTGTGAGCGTTTTGATGTCCCTTTTGAATTCAATTTCATAGCATCAAGGAATTGGGAATCCATCAAACTTGCGGATCTCAAGATTCAACGCCATGAGACAGTTGCTGTGAATTGTTTAGATGGGTTTAAGAATCTCCTTGATGAGACAGTTGAGGACAACAATCCACGTGATGCTGTGTTAGAACTAATTCGGGAAATTAAACCGGATATTTTCGTTCATTTTGTACGTAACGGTTCCTACAATGCGCCGTTTTTTGCGACAAGATTCCGAGAGGCACTTTTTCATTTTTCTGCAGGGTATGATTTGCTTGATGCTACCATTGATCGTGACAACAAAGATAGGTTATTTTTTGAGAGAGAGTTCCATGGACGGGAAATTATGAATGTCATAGCATGTGAAGGTTCAGAAAGGATTGAGAGGCCAGAAACGTACAGGCAATGGCAGGTTCGTCATATGAGGGCTGGGTTTAAGGCGCTTCCTCTGGACCAAGATTTCATGAAGTTATTCAGGGGTAAGATGAAAGCATACCACAAGGATTTTGTGCTCGATGAAGATGGCAACTGGATGCTGCAAGGTTGGAGAGGTCGGATTTTTTATGGCTCCTCCTGTTGGGTGCCTACTTAGGATGCTCCAAAAAGAATGTTTTCTGTCATGACCTGTAGATTACTGGGATTCTTCCCGAGTCGACAGGTCAAGGATTCGTATTAGAGTAGCTCAGCATGTACTTATTTCTGGCTCCTCTGTTCCTGCATCTTGTACTTGCAAACAATTTTGAATGAGGAATGTTTTCTCACAATTTATCTAATTCTCGAGATTGGAAGATACAATTTGCAGCTTCTATGCCCCATCGCATTGTGAATTTTGCTGATAATGTGTCATGATTTGTCTATCCTATATCTCACAAATTGTGCAAGTAATATGGCAGGTCAAAGCTGATGATGGGTATGGGTGCAGCATTGTCATGTATGGTTTGTGCTGTTCTCTTGATGGCTCTGTTGTTTACTAATCTCCTATAATACTGAATGCTGTTTGGCTCTTTTAAGAACTGAATATGATGCAGACAATGTTGGGCTCAAGCTAAAGTTGTTTCTGTCTTCAAGACAACTTAAGGGCAGTTGAACTTCTGGATTACTTTCTGGCCTACAGACATTATATCTTATTTCTCGGTTTTTGTCTTTCTGTGAAGTAATTTGGATGGGTCAATTGTTGGTTTATATGCAAGGGAGATCAAGTATGCGATTAAACTAGTTATTGTAGATATAGTTGAATTCTCATGCAATTCAGTCTGTCAATATATTATTTCATTTACACCAACGACTGATAACGGGGGGTGAGATTGATTTGGTCCGCAAAATTTTTAGCTCTTCTGCATTTTGATTAAGCATAATTATGCATGCATGGCAGGTGAGCTCTAATCCTAAGGTTTAATGAGAAATATCTTTTCTACACTACTGAGAGAGCTCACATGTTACCGCGTCCTTGCAATAATAAGCTTCGATGTCGGAAAGATCACACTAATTAATTAGTACTCAATAGGTTTTTTTCGTCCGATATCTAAGTTACATACATTTTCTAATCTCTCTCCCAGAGTAAAATAAACCGAAAGGTTTGTGCAGTGAATCCACGTTGCACGGTCTGGATAGCTACAGAGTTTTGGAGTCGTGATAATTGATGTACGGAAAGGGGAGACCGTTTGTCGTGTTTTTTCTTCTTATTATTGTTATCAAAAATCGTAAAATGCTATTCAATTAGATTAACGTTTTCCGTCTCGTCCTGGTAAAAAGTTTATTTGAATTGTCGATGTAATAATATTGACATTTATGTAATTAAAAGTTACTAAATGAATGGTCATGATTTTCTAGATTTATGGTGCGCATGTGTAACAATCTGGACAAATGTTTATGGAAATTGCTTAGTGCGAGGTGCCGTCGAAGTTAAGCTAAGGAAAAGGCTTGAGCCTCAAGCTAGGCCCTTAACCAGTGATGGAAGTCACCGGTTTCGTGATGCAGATTTTGATCAACTCAAAAGCAAAAATTGGCATCCACATGCGCTTTTAAGTTAAAAATGGCATATTCATCTAATTTGAAAGATGTGAAAATAATTTAACAAAAAAGGAAAATAAAACAAAAAAATCCCAAATCATATGAATTACGACACCGGTATCTATCACAATACCCTCCGTCACGATTTCGGCTAAGACTGTTGTTAGTATTCCGATAATGGAAGGCTAACACTACTGTAGTGAAAAACGACGTTTTGTTGGGAAATAATTTGACATAGCCATGAACTAGAGAGGACGTTGTTTTGATAGCCGAAGTCGATTTGGAGCAAAAATTAAGTTTCGCCACTCTCTCTCTCTCCGGTTTGAAAGACGAAACCCTAGAATCATGGTCACATGAGACGGAAAACCAATCACAATAGCTAGACGCACTCGAGCTCGAATTCCAACGGGAGAGAGGAGCCTTCACGGGTCGGAGAATGAGTTCTTGAGCTCGATGAGGACCGATTCTTTGGGGTCACTCACCTCCGCATAGACATCTTTGAAAGATGCAAAAATAAAAGAAATTACTGATTTCTTGATGTTCATTTTTTTTGCCATAAAAACAAAAATGCCAACCAGCTGTAGATAAAATGTGGGATTCGGCACATGAATCTCATCTTTGTTATCAAATTTGACATTAGTCTCAATGAGAGTTGTAGCAATCTTGTTATCAGTAAGTTCGGCCTGAGAAAGAAGACCAGCGACATATCTCGGTTGAGAAAGATAATAGGCGAAGGAATTTGAAGCAACCTCCAAGTTGATAAAATAGCCGAGTCGTCCAAGATCTTTTTATTTCAAATTATTGACTCAAATATTGTTGTAGTTTCATAATGCCGGTATATGATCATTGTCGATAATTGTCATGCCGTCCACACATAAGAGTAGCATAATACTCCTACGAGATGTTCGTTGAACAAAGGAAGCACCGTCGTAGGGATCATATGTAAATCCAATGCGTTCCATGGTGGAATTGAATTTGGAATACCATGCGCGAGGAGCCTACTTCAGCCCATCTAATGCTTGGTGTAATCAACACTTTATTAGGAGCGTGAGTGTATACAGGAGGAGCCTGCTTTAGCCTATATACATCAGTTGATGACGTGATGGTTGCAAATCACTGAATATTTTCTAAAAAATTAGGGTTCATCGTGATCTCTTTCTCTCTCTAGTTTCCTCTGTCTCTGGTTTCCAGTGATGTTGAGAGACGAAACCCTAAAATCAAAGTCACATGGGACGCCAAATCTGTCATGGCAATTTGACGTGCCCGAGCACGAGTTCCAACTGGAGAGGAGCCTCCATGGGTCGGAGAACGAGTTCTTGAGCTGGTCGAGAACCGATTCTGTGGGATCACTCAACAGAACATTTTCCAGATAACAATCCCGTTCTTGCTTCATTAAAGTCCCATTGGAGCCATAATGACTCCATTTTCATTTTTGTTGCTCACTTAACCCACCGACCTAGGATTTTCACCTGTGGTCTTGAACGAAACTGCCACGGATGCTATTGATAATCGTAATGCGTATAGTTTGACATTTTTAATAGCACAAAAAATTGTGGTTTCTTCCCTGACTTTTCTCTCTTTGTTTAAGCTTTTTGCTTCGCAGCCGCCGTCATTCATTGGCCGGTAAACGTAACACCACTTCATCATCTGCAACTTGTCAAAAGCGGGACCCACAGTTGACCGATCGCTTCCCCGATCGAAGGAGCACGATGAGGATGACACGGATGGAGATCAACCGGGCCCGCCTTTATTTTCTGACCCAAATCTTCCTACGTAATCTCTTCATTTCTTTTTTAAATTTACCTGTAGCTTTTGTGATTTTTTCCTCGGAATTCAAGATGAAGTTGAGTTGTTCAGCTCGGCCAGTTCACGGAAGATTCCGAATTTCACACCATCCTCTATCAGCTGACTCCCTCGTATAAAGATCGCATCGGAGACTTATCATTCTTCATTCAGCTTCCAACCCCACTTTTCCATTTTTACGGTACGCAATCCCATCTCTATTTCTCTTTTCTATGTTGTAAACGAAAACCAAAAGTCGGGTCTCCATTCAGCCATTGATTTCTGGGTCTTCTCATTTCATCTGCTTTAGGGAGGGGCATGTCGATGTTTACTTCCTGCGGGGTCCTTTCCCGTTGAAGTACTCCGCTTTTCTCCCTTCTCGCGATCTGTTATTCTTCGACTTTAATCGACCCTGTTTAAGCAAACGAAGAAAAAAAAAAAAGACAAGAACATTGAAGAGTGAGTTCTTTTGTTGCGGGCTGAGCATTTTAGTTCAGTTGGTTCATGTTTTGGGGGTCCAAAGATACTGGCGATTTGCATCAAAATTTGATGTTAGGGTGGGGACTTTGATAGGGTTTGGAGAGTAGATGACCATGGATCCTTTGTTCTTTGATTACTCGGCTTGTATCGATCTGGATGATCTTCCAATAGACAGCCATGTCTTTTCACATAGTCCAGATCAGAACCCAAGTCTCACAAATGGTTTCTTTTTGGATGACCCTATTCTAGACCTTGAATCCTCAGATAGTGCTTTTCTTTCGAATAAAGTAGACCCTGTAACCAAACTCCCTTCGAAATCTGTCGACCTCGATAATGGAGATTTAATCTTTCCCTCGACAATGGTGAGCCTAGATGGAGGCTCATTTGGTCCATCCATGAGCTCGAGTAGGGACCAGAGTCCAGAGGGAGATTCTCTGTCCCCCTCGGGGGACATCGACTCATTGGATCCCGTTCTAAAGTACATAAGTCAGATACTTATGGAAGAGAACATGGAGGAGCAACCGTGGGTATTCGCCGATGAGGTTGCTCTGCAAAATGCTGAAAAATCATTGTACGATGTCCTTGGTCAGCAGCATTTGGAACAGTCTGATCAGAGCCCCTCACAGGTTGATTTAAGCCATTATATAGAGAGCACAACTAGCAACCTTTCTGGAAGTAGCAGTGCTCCCAGAAGCCATGATGCTACAAACGTTACTTTCAGCTTCAGCGACTCAGCCAATGCTAATATTCTGCATACAATCGGAGATCATAGCCATGCTGTCGTGAAAAATCCTGACCAAGACTTCCAGTCGAATGTGGATTCCATTTCGCAGTTCTTGGCCAATTCTTCAAACAGCATCACCAATCATGATGATGGGTCTGAGGAATCTTTGCATGGGCTTCTTGTCAAGAGCATTTTAAGCGATGGAGAGTCTATGATTCAGTTTAAGAAAGGATTAGAGGAGGCCAGCAAATTCCTTCCTACCAACAATCAATTACGAATTAATCCAGAGGACAGCAAACCGTCATCTGAAACAAAGAAAGGAACCACAAGAACGCGTATCAATGAGGAAATCAACATGAAGGGGTCATCTAATGGATTCAAGGGATTAAAGAATCGCGAGAGGGACGAGGATGCTTTTGAGGAAGGCAGGGCTAGTAAGCAAACAGCCTTGTACGCAGAAGAGGGTGAGCTTTCAGATTTATTCGATAAGGTGTTGCTCTGCACCGAAAATGGTGGGGCTATGTGTTCTGGCGATGGATCTGGGGAGACCGGGCTGAGGAAAGACATACAGCTACAAAGGAACAAGCGCGGTTCCAATAGGGGTAGGGTTCGTGGTAAGAAGCAGGGAAGCAAGAAAACTGTTGACTTGAGAACTCTTCTGATTCTCTGTGCACAAGCTATCTCTACTAGTGATTTCAGGACTGCTAATGAATTGTTAAAGCAGATTAGAGAGAACTCTTCTCCTTTTGGGGATGCCTCTCAAAGATTGGCCCATTACTTTGCCAATGGGCTGGGGGCACGATTGGTGGGCAACAACATTCGAACGCAAGACTTTTATTCTACTGTTGTTGCCAGGACGACTTCAGCTGCTGATGTCTTGAAATATTACCACCTTCACATTTCAACATGCCCGTTTAAGCAGTTCTCCATGTTCTTTGCCAATTTCATGATTTTTAAATTTGCAGAGAAAGCCACTACCCTCCACATAATTGATTTCGGCATTGCATTCGGTTTTCAATGGCCAATCCTCATACAGAAGCTCTCTTCTCGATCAGAAGGGCCTTGTAGATTACGCATCACAGGGATAGAGCTTCCACAGGCTGGTTTGCGCCCGGCAGAAAGACTAGAGGAGACAGGTCGCCGTTTGAAAAAGTATTGTGAGCGTTTTGATGTCCCTTTTGAATTCAATTTCATAGCATCAAGGAATTGGGAATCCATCAAACTTGCGGATCTCAAGATTCAACGCCATGAGACAGTTGCTGTGAATTGTTTAGATCGGTTTAAGAATCTCCTTGATGAGACAGTTGAGGACAACAATCCACGTGATGCTGTGTTAGAACTAATTCGGGAAATTAAACCGGATATTTTTGTTCATGCTGTATGTAACGGCTCCTACAATGCGCCCTTTTTTGCGACAAGATTCCGAGAGGCACTTTTTCATTTTTCTACAGGGTATGATATGCTTGATGCTACCATTGATCGTGACAATGAAGATAGGTTGGTTATGGAGAGAGAGTTCCATGGACGGGAAATTATGAATGTCATAGCATGTGAAGGTTTGGAAAGGATTGAGAGGCCAGAAACGTACAGGCAATGGCAGGTTCGTCATGTGAGGGCTGGGTTTAAGGCGCCTCCCCTGGACCAAGATTTCATGAAGTTATTCAGGGGTAAGATGAAGGCATGGTACCACAAGGACTTTGTGCTTGATGAAGATGGCAACTGGATGCTGCAAGGTTGGAGAGGTCGGATTTTTTATGGCTCCTCCTGTTGGGTGCCTACTTAAGATGCATAAAAAAGAATGTTTTCTGTCATGACCTGTACGTTACAGGGATTCTCCCTGAGTTTACTGGTCAAGGATTCGTATTAAGGTAGCTCAGAATGTATTTATTTCCGGTTCCTCCATTTGTTCATGTATCTTTTACTTGCAAACAATCTTGAATCTGGAATGTGTTCGCTTATAATTCTCAAGATGGGAAGATGCAATTTGCGGCTTCTACGCGGCACCGCATTGTGAATTATGCTTCTAAGGTGCCTGTTATCTGTCTATCCTAGATCTCATGTCACAAGTTCCGCAAGTAATATGGCAGCTCGAAGCTGATGATGGGTAAGGGTGCAGCATTAATCAGTCGTAGTTCGTCCTTTTCTCTTGATGGCATTGTCGTTTGCTAATATCCTAAAATACCGAAAGCTGTTTAGCTCACGGAGGATGCGTTTCAAAACATGATGGAGACGAAATTATGCTCATGCTAAGGAACCTTTCCGAAAATGTCCATGCCGAATCCTTTTTAAGTATTATAACAATAATTGAGATTTGTGTGGTTTGTGGTAAAAGGGAGGAAAGTGTGGTATATTCACATTACCAAATGAAGAGTACAAGCCCTCCCTTATATATAGGGTGAGAGGCAATTAGGTTTAATTACGATTAATGTAAACTACAATTAACCTAATCTTAAATATATACAACTAACATTGCCCCTCAAACTTAAGGTGACTAGAAAGAAGTCAACTCGAGTTTGGAGAAAATATCCAAAAAGCGGCTAGGTGGATGTGTCTTAGAGAAGACATCAGCAGTTTGATGAAGTGGAAACAAGTCTAATAGTACCACGATAAACGTGATATTGGATGAAATGATAGTTTGTCTCAATGTGTTTGGTGCGTTCATGGAAAACATCATTATGCGCAATTCGGATAGTACTGCGATTGTTGCAATGAAGGACTATCCCGCTATGATGACACACTCCCATATTTTCCAGTAGCCATAGCAACTATTATAACTCCGATGACATATCAGTAAGAGCTCGATATTTAGCTTCTGTACTAGAGCAAGCGACATTTGACTGTTTCTTGCTATGCCATGAGATAAGGGAGGTGCCCAAAAAGAAATAGTAGCTTGTGGTGGAGCAATAATCTTGAGGGTCACCAGCTCAGTCAACATTTAAATAGGCTGTTAATTCCAATGTAGAATGAGCAGAAAAGTGAATCTCACGAAATAACATACCCTTGACATAGCGAAGAATACGAAGAACTCCAACAAAGTGAGTTGTACGAGTCGCTGTCATGTATTGGCTAACAATATGAACAGCATAAGCGATGTCAGGGCGAGTAACGATAACATAAATACGACTGCCGACTAGTTGTCCATAGAGGTTAGGATTCGAAAGAGGGGTCCCATCACCGGCATCAAATTTGGCATTAGTCTTAAGAGGAGTTGTGGCGACCTTGGTGTCAATGCGTCCTGCTCGAGAATGAGATCAGTGGCATATTTGGCTTGAGAAAGATAATAACCAGATGAATTCGAGGTAACCTCTAAGCCTAAAAAGTAATTGAGTTGCCCTAGATTTTTCATTTCAAACTGTTGACGAAGAGCATGATCGTAGGGACTAGATGTAAAGCCAAGGGGTGCCATTGTGGAGCTAAACTTGGAAAACCATGCACAAGGAGATTGTTTTAATCCATATAAAGCGCAACGTAATCTACATACTTGGTGATAAGGATGAGGGTAGCCAGGAGGAGGAGGTACCATATAAACTTCCTTAGTGAGATTGCCATTTAGGAATACATTTTTAATATCCATCTAAAATAAAAACCAACGCTTAATAGCGTCGACAGCAAGAAGACTGTGAACAGAAGTAAGACGCTCAATCGGGGCACAAGTCTCTTCATAGTTAATGCCATATTCCTGAGTAAAGCCTTTCACAACGAGGCGAGCTTTATATCGATACACTGTACCATTTGTTTTTGTCTTAATCTTGTACACCCATTTACAACCGATAGAGGCCATGAGACAAATCAACTAAATTCCAAGTGTGAAATTTGTCTAAAGCTTGTAACTAATTTGTCATTGCTTGCTGCCAAAGAGGATCAGTACTAGCTTCTCTATATGTGCGAGGTTCATAAAAAGAAGCTATAATAGAATAATAATGGTAATCTCGAAGTTGAATAGAAGGTTGACTTACTACGGTGGAACGACGATTAGAGGAGGAAGGAATGACCGATAGTGGAGGATCCATGGATGGGGTAGACACATTAGAAGTGGCCAAAGTGGTGTCACTAGAAGATCATGCATCAAGATGAAAGGAAGACAAATCTAGAATAGAAAAGCCAGATGTGGATAGAAGTGTGGTGATGGAGTACACTACCATATATATGCTTGTAAGGAGAAATGTTACCTATAATGGGTGATGGAGTACAATTGATAGTGTAAAAAACCGTGTGACAAGCTTTCACCTAAAACTATTCAGGATAAGAGGCAGAGATGAGAAGAGTACGTACAACATCTAGATATGCTTATGCTAACATTCTGCTCTACCATTTTGCTGAAAAGTGCCTGAGCAAGAGCGATGAATGATAGTACCATTTTGAGAAAGAATGCTAAGAAAATATATATTTCTATGTTCCATAGCATTATCAATACAAAAAATCTTGATATCTTGTGAAAATTGGGTTTTGATCATGGCAAGAAAATCACTGTAAATATGAGAAAGTTCAGAATGATTTTTCATAAGATAAAGCTAGGTATAACGAGAGTGATTATCCACAAAAGTGACAAAATAGTGAGAGCCATCTATGGTGGGGGCGGGAGATGGTCCCTAAATGTCAGAGTGAATGAGATTAAAAGGAGCATGGAATCTAGTGTCACTTGTTTGAAATGGTAAAGCATGATGTTTTCTCAACTTATAAGGTAAGTAATCAAAATGTTTAGTGTCAACAGAACTTATGACCACTTGAATCAAGGAACTTAACCTAGAAAAAGAAGCATTGCCTGATCGAGAAAGCCAAGTTTCATATGACACATAAAAAGAAGTCGGAATATTTAAGGAAACAACCTCAACGAGGCTCTCCTCTTTACGGCCAGTCCCAAGTGTTTGTCTCATCCCAAGCGTCCGTCCCATCCGAGGATCCTGCACATGACAACCAGGAGTGAGAAGTGAATATAAAAACCAAATTCAGAAAATTGGCCAACAGATGTCAAGTTGAGTGAGAATTTGTAGGTGTGACGATGGGCATAGCAGGGAGTTGCGCTTTCAAGGTAGCTAGTCGAGTCTCCTTAGTCAATAATTCTGATATATTCGTTTCAATAGAAGGAAAATGATCTCTATGCGGAAAGGAGGCCCTCATAGGTTCAAACTCATCATTCAGGGCCATAAAAAATTGTACGACATTGATACGATCACGATATTCAGCAACTTTGCGAGCATCACTAGCCTCCTCCAAGCGCGGTTCAGACAAGGGCAACTAATCCTACTTAGCATGCATAGATGATAGAAAATCATTAATGAATTGACTTGGCTCTTGACGCATGTGATATAAATTCCCTAGCGGCCAATACTAATGGGCAACATTTGAACTGGAATAGTGACAGGCAAGAAGATCCCAACCTTGCTTTGCCATATTAAAAAGGCCAAACTGGAGTCAGATAGATGGGATCGAAGTGTTTCGAAACCATGTAAGAATCTGATGATTTCTGCTATCCCATTCATCCAAACGATCCATATATTTAGCATAAAATTCATCAGTAATTTTAGTAGGTGTGCTAATTTCTCCAGTGACATAACGCCAAAGTCGACGTCCTTTCAAGAAGTTTGATATTTCTTGAGCCCATAAAACATAATTAGAACATTCAAAATAGTCTGAATAGGCATTGAGACTTCCACTTTATCCATAATAGGCACTTTACTAGTATAAAATAAGCAAAATCCATTATATCGAGAGCAGATATGGACAAAATAAGGCCAAACACAAACTCAGAACGTCGAAATGCCTTCAGATCCGATCGGAAAACACCAAAAACTGGTCAGAAAATGGTCGAACCGGTCATAAATGCAACGGAACCGGTATGTTCTTAACCAGTCAACGCCGGTCCACGATGGGATGACATGGCGATGACATCAACAGACCATAGAGCCGTTGGGCGCGTGTCGCTGAGGGAGGTGCGTGGATCTCACTCGCAAGACTTCTGGCGGTGCATCCGGCGGAGGAGGGTGGCAAGTTTTGGGTTGGTGTTGGTTTGTCAAAAAACACGATGGAGGGCGTCCAAATCACCATTGAATAGCGGTGGGCTCCCCGAGCTTCGAGACGTGGCGACACGTGTAGTGGGCCTAGTGGCGTTCGATGTCGGTTGGCGACAAAATTTCAGGATGTGGATCGTATGAGGGCAATGAGTTTGACGGTGGTCTTGGTTTTCCAAAATGAGCAACGGAAGTATGTCGAACAGCAACTAAAGACTTCGGTCTTATCGGAGAATCGGAGCGATGTAGCTGGTGCAACTGGCGTCATGGCGGCCACGGTGTAGGAAACTCGATGGGCGCTCCTCAAGTAACAATGGCTCTGATACCAAGTTGAGGTTTGTGTGGCTTGTGGTAAAAGAGAGGAAAGTGTGGTATATTCACGTTACCAAATGAAGAGTAGGGCATCGGATGAGAGACAATTAGGTTTAATTACAATTAATGTAAACTACAACTAATCTAATCTTAAATATATACGTCTAACAACAACGATGCTGCATAAATACACATATATATGTATATCGACAAAGCCTCTTAATATCCTATTAACTTAAGTAACTGGTGATGATTATCCCCAATGATTTTTATGGATGAAATATCTCCCTAATTACCTTCTCGAGCAACACATGTCCGTACTTAAAACTTTGGACAAATCGTCCTTTTCTTGGCACCAAAAAGATGCTTATCCGTTGCTCACTTGCATGGGCGGAGCTCGCGGGGGTCCCTACCGAGTTGATCTAGACAAGAGTCCCTCCGGTCCGCTCGACCCGGATTTACCGGTTTTCAATGGTCAGTCCTCGGACAGTAACACGGACCCGTGACCGGAGCTCCCGGTGAACAGGTGGGAGTTGCCCTATCTGACCGGGTCAAAACCTGGGAAACGTCAAGCCCCACGTGCTTGCTTCGGTGGGTTTCGTCGAACGTGGTCCGCTCAGTGCATTGTCCTTATTTGGTTTCTTTAACGTCGTCGGGTGATCGCATGATTACCTAATACGTTGGACTAAACCTCGCGATTAGAATTATGATGACGAATGATATCGATCACCCTTTGATATGATAATGGTCATTTGGTTGTCCCCATCATTCCCACTCTTAGTGCCGTCTCCAAGTGGCTTGCTGAGAAGCGACTTGCCGCTCGCCACGTATCGGAGCTGGGGCCCGCCGCTTTTACTTTCACGTCCTCGCTCTTTCTTATTCGGCGGTCGTCGAATGGAAGTGTCGGCCACTGGGGGCGAGCGGGATTTAAAATAGGTCTAGGTTCCATTTGGGATTTAAAATCTACCAATTGAGATTAATTCTCGATTTTTGAAAATTTGAAACTTACTTTGTATATCTTATTAGAATTGACAAAAACTGAACAAGTAGTTCCAGAGTTTACTAAGGAACCGGCCGATTCTTTTTCAAATTTTTTATCTCTATTTTAGTCGAGCAAAATGAAAATTAAAGCAACAAAAGAAATTTCCCTTCAGATAGTCAGAGTTTCACTTATCCCAAACGGAACCATTTATAAGTGAATTAGTCTGTCAAACCTAACAAGAGTTGTACTGTGTTGTCATGTAGAGTAAATGAAAGGGGTTGATAACACTCGTAAAAGAGTAATGACTAGTTAATTTGGGATTTCCCAAGTGCATGGTATACTGGATTTCTGCCGCAATGAATGTATATGTTGCGGTGGATTTTAATGGGTACATATCTTCCACGGAGACTAGAGCAAATTTAAAACTAATTCTAGCAATGTAAGAACATATTAAATAACATTAGTAACGAAATGATGTTTCGAATTTTGAAAGTTCGATGCTAATGGTGAAAAGATCCATGGACACTACTAATTTTAGGATTATCTCGGTTCGGTCCGGCTCTCCGGTTCGTGATCCAATTCTTCGGTTCTATGATTCTCGGTCCGGTTTGGCTCCTACCTGAGAATCGAGAACCGGACAGCATAGTACCGGTTTCAAACCGGACCAATTTTTAAGGTGGGTCGGTCGGATCCAGTTCTCAAATTTACGCGGCACCCATGCTCGCTCCTATTGGCCACCTCCGGCGGATCTCCAATCATTGGGTTGCGGTGGCTTGGTGCTGCAGGACCCGGTCGAAGGTTCAAGACTTGTTGACTATCAAATATCTCCACACAAAAAAAAAAAGAAAAAGAAAACATTTCTTCTTGAGCACGGTCCTCTCTCTCTCTCTCTATACATACACAACAGAAATGCTCACGATCGCTCGTGCTTGTTGCTCGCGAGCTCGATTCAGCGGATACCCTCCTGCGAGGTCCCATATTTCTCGCTAAGGTACGCGCTGCGCAGTGCTGTTCTGTTCATTTCTGTTGCTTTGTGATCGTGCAACAGTTAGTTTCCATCGATCCTTCGTGCCAGAGGTCACGCGTTTCCCTTCGCTGATTCCATACTTTGCATTTCGCATGCCTGTGAATGGTTTTTTCGAGTCCTAACGTCCAGAAGACTTGAGGTTCATGAACATAGGCGATTGGATCTTAGGTGTCATGTGTACTCATCGTCGTACTTTTCGGTTTCAGTGATTCCTAGGAACTGGCGTGTTTGTGTTCGAGAGGGGGTTTTAGAGATATCATTGTCTGAGACTGTGTAATCTCCGATTGATTGTGGTTACGATCTCTGTATGTTGTTTTCAGTTAGTAAAATTATGGCGGCACTAGACTAGATATATTATAGCAGTTGATGGGTGTCTGTGTCTGTTCATTCATCTCGAAATATGACTTCATGTTTTGCAAATTACTTTAGCCGTCTCGTGCTCATCTGACTTTTCGTAATTTGTGGTTCGAGTGAATGTAATCCCTTTGCTCTCCGTGGTTTTGGCTGTTCAACTCGATTTAGGACTGTACAGTTTCAGAAAAAAAATAAAAAATTTCTCTTACATCATTGTCAATGTTCAAGCTAGGTTTCTAACGGGTAGAGACTTGGTACCTCTGTGTCAGACACCAGGCTGAGTTGAGGTGGTGAGCTTCTGGAAGATTTTGAGACAGTGATGACCATGGAGTCCAACTTCACTGGATTTACTTATGCTGCGGATGATGTTGAGACCAATTACCCCACTTACCTAGCCAATTCAGATCATTCCCCGAATCTCTCGGATGGATTCAACGTAAATGAACTTTACGTTGATTTCAACTCCGCAGAAATTACCTCTCTCCTTCGCCAAACGGAACCGGCTTATCTTGACCCATCTGTTGCAGTTAACCTTGATGGAGACCTTGATTTTCCGTCCACAGATGTGAGTTCCAAGGATGGCTCGCTGCACCATTCTACCATCTCCGACGAAAGCCCAAATCAAGGGGGGGAACCTTTCTCCCCCTCTGATTACAGCAACTCGCCCGATCCTGTTCTCCGGTACATACATCAGATGCTCATGGAGGAGAATGTGGAGGAGCAACCCTGGATAATTTCCGATGATTTGGCTCTACAAGATACAGAGAAATCCTTGTATGACGTGCTCGGTGAGAAGTACACTTTTTCTCCTGAACAGGCTGGACAATTCGACATCAATCAGTTCATTGACAGCCCAAGCCGCAACTCTCACGGAAATAGCAGCAATCAAGGTGGTGATGGCACTACCGACACCAGAACCAACCGTAGCCAGTCCTCTGGTCCTAATTCACCAGATAATCCTGAAGGAAAAGACCACAGTTCCCTTCATGGCCCAAATCCTGGTGATGGGGTTTTGCCGTTGAATATGAATACCAATTCCCAGCTGTATACCAATCCAATGAACAGCTTGCCGCATCAAGATGAGTTCGGTGATTCCTTTCCAAATGATCTCCTGGTTAGCAATACGTTCAGCAACAGTGATTCTATCCGGCAGTTTAATAAAGGTTTGGAGGAGGCCAGGAAATTCCTTCCCAGTAGCTTCCAATTGACGATCAATCAGGAGGATTATAAGTTGGCTCCAAATGCCAGAGATCCTGAAGAGAATGGCACTGATGATGAGAAGAGTTTGAAGAGTCGCTCAGAGAGTGGGCCAAAGGGGAGAAAGAATCATGAGAGAGATGATGAGAGTTTTGAGGAAGGGCGAGCCAACAAGCAATCGGCATCATATACGGAAGACTGTGAGCTTTCAGAAATGCTTGATAAGGTGTTGCTCGGCTGCAGTTATCAAATGGCGGGGTGCACACCCAAGAACATGAGCCAATCCAAGGGCCCACCTGATCCAAATGGTAGCAGGGGTCGCCGTAAGAAGAAGGGAAATAAGAGCACAGCAGACTTAAGGAGTCTTCTGATTCTCTGTGCACAAGCTGTCTCCACTAATGACTTCAGGACCGCTTATGAACTGCTAAAGCAAATTAGACAAGATTCTTCTGCCTCTGGTGATGGCTCTCAAAGATTGGCGCATTACTTTGCCAATGGGCTGGAAGCACGCCTTGCAGGCAGTGCCGGTGATAGGCAAACCTTTTTCTATTCTGCCGAAATGCAGAAGAGGACAGTGGCTGATAAGTTGAAGGCGTACCAACTTCATCTTACGGCTTGTCCATTTAAGAAATTCCCCATCCTCTTCGCAAACTTCAGGCTTAAAAAGGTCGCAGCTACAGCAAAGGTGCTTCATATTATAGACTTTGGAATCGGTTTTGGTTTTCAATGGCCAATCCTTATCCAGGAGCTCTCAAAGAGAGATGGTGGACCTCCTGAGCTGCGAATAACTGGAATTGAGATTCCACAATCTGGATTTCGTCCTGCCGAGAGAATCGAGGACACAGGTCGTCGTCTGGCTAAGTATTGCGAGCGCTTTAAGGTTCCCTTCGAATTCCATGCGGTACCATCAAGGAACTGGGAACGTATCAGAGTTGAGGATCTTAAGATCCGAAGTGGCGAGATGGTTGCGGTGAATTGTCTCGCTCGATTTAAGAATCTTTATGATGAGACGGTCGAGGTGGATTGTCCACGAGATGCTGTCTTAAGGCTAATCAGGAGTATAAAACCGGATGTCTTTGTTCATTGCATAAGTAACGGATCCTACAACGCGCCCTTTTTCTTGACTAGATTCCGTGAGGCTCTTTTTCATCTGTCTGCAATGTATGATATGTTTGATGCTACCATAGCCAGTGAGAATGACCAGAGGTTGGTTTTGGAGAGAGAGTTCTATGGACGGGAAATTATGAACGTCGTGGCATGTGAAGGCTTAGAGAGGGTTGAGAGGCCTGAGACATATAAGCAGTGGCAAGTTCGCCTTGCTAGGGCTGGTTTCACACAGCTTCCTCTGGATCAGGAGCTCATGGAGATGGGTAGAACTAAGTTGAGCACATACTACCACAAGGATTTCGTGCTTGCTGAAGAAAGCAACTGGATGCTGCTTGGTTGGAGGGGCCGGATAATTTCTGCTTGCACTTGTTGGGTGCCCATATAGATTTCTCCCAAATCATGTTTTCTAACATGACAACTGGCAATTAGTGAGATTCTTGCTGAACTACCAGGCCAGGGGCACATGTGAGAGAGGGGCTGAGGTAATACTGATCTTCAGTTCTCATTCATATGTGCTTGCGTTGTGTGTGCATTTCCCTGCTGTTTAGCTTCTGTTTGGATAATCATATAATTCTTTTCTTGCAGATCACTTGAAGGAGCAAACACACTAACGTGAAATGTGTAGAGGGTTGATTATGATGGCTGCAACAAAAGACGAATATCACAGAAGATGAATCTTAAGCAATTTCTATTTTGGGTGGAACTATGAAAGGTAAAACTGTGTTATTAGAAGGATCTCAATCGAGGGATTGGGAGCATTTGTGCGAGACTTTATTACTGGTAGTAGTGGTCAAAAGGGTTTGGTTATCTATGTAGTGCAGTGCCAACTTTTTAAGTTTCTCTTGTTTGTAGAAGTTTGTAAGATTTGGGCAGGATGAGTGACTTGTATCTGCTGTTCCATTACAATATCTGGGATTTGCTTATGATTTCAGTGGAAGAATTATGATGGCAATAACATCGCCAGATATGTGGAATTAGACTCTTAGCCTTACCATTGGATGGGATTGATATTAATTGACACATTACTGTTTTCGCTAGTTTTATTTTTCTACAATCTATGTGCTTGTTTTCAGTTTTTAGTCCTCTAAACTTTTTATTTGACATGATTGCATCTATTTTCAAAGTATAACGTTATTTCAGTTCTCTGCCTTCCACTAGTTTTGCAAGATCTTTTTTGTGGGAACTCTTGGAATCATACTACATAATCATCTGTGTTTGCTTTACTTTTCGACCGATTCTTGTAATTGTCGTGAATATTTTGTTGGTTCGACGTTGCTTTGCATTTGCCTTGATCAGAAGCAAACGCTTTCTATTGCTGCACCTCAGTCGGGCTATCCACTTATTGCATGTCCTCATTTAATCTGAAGCGTGAGAAGGCTCTTCCTCTGTAATAACCCTTACATCAACTTAGCACCGATCATATCTCGCCACATTCCAGATGGAGCTACGACCTTTTGCTATTCGGTCCTAATATCTAGTTGACTATAGGAAATGCAGCCAAAATCGCTTAAAATCTGCCTAGTCAAGCTTCAATGAGAATTGGCTGCGATCCATGGTTTCTTTTGCTGCATGAAGCTGCGACCTGCAATGGAATAGTCATTGAAGTATTTGTGTATTGCAAGCACTCCGTTCTTCCTATGCAGTACTGTTTCTCATTGACTATGTACGAAGTTTACTGTCCCCATGGATGCAAAAGGTTCTAAATGCCAATTGTAAGGAGGGCCAAAACGGTTTGAGATTGAAATATCGGAAAGCAACGATACACAAAATCCGATACCAAGCCAGAGCAGCTTGTATCTAAAGAGGAGAACATTTCCTGCTGGGAGAAAAATCTTGAAAATGAAGCACTGATCTGAAGACGAAGTGTTAGCAGGAAAAGTTTATATAGGGACACGGTCGATGGTAGGCAAACTATGAGCCCCGGGGCAAATTGACCAGCGGGGGTTGGGTGGGATTTGGAACTTAGGACCAGCATCTCGGTCTCAGACAATGCATTGCCTATCCAAATAAGATGATTATGTAAAATAAAGTCAATAAAATGACCAAATCCAAATGATTTCCGCTCCTCGTTGAGTTGCGAGAAATGCATAGCCTTGTCTTTGGATCCAATTTTATGTGAAGTTCAGTTCCCGCTGATTAATCCCCATTGTTAAGTTATCTTCACAACTGCAATTTTCTTCCTCTTTCAATGTGAACTGTTTTCTCTCCAGTCAAGTTTTGATAAAAATAGGCCATGATCAATATTTGACACTAACAAGATAGTCTTTCTCTGCATGAAGCTGGACCTACAAATGGAAAGTGGTCAACGAGGAATTTGTGAATTCCAAGCACTCCCCTCTTCCTTTCAGAGGTCTGGAAGTGTGTAATTGTTTGTCATTCACTTGATGTATGAAGTTTGCTGTCCCCATGAATGCAAAAGACTCTGAATCACAATTCTAACTAGAGCAAAAACAGTTCGATGAATTGAAACATCGCAAAGCAACAACACCTGTAAAAGCTGAAACCAAGTTCAGCCAGTTTGTATGTAACAATAACATCTTGAAAAAAAAAAAAAAACTCCAGCAAACTCTTGAAATGTAGTGCTTATCTGAAGATTTAAGAGTTACCACGAAAGTTGAAATTGTTTTGATGTGGTCAACAGCAAGTAAACTATAAGCCATGGGACAAATGGGCCGGTAGTTGGGTGGGGATGCAAGGACTGGGACGGTGGGACCGGTTTGGGAGTCTAGGACTAATATCTCTATTAGAAAGTTCAACTCAAAAAATTAAGCTGATAAGTGGAGGGAGACCACGTAAAGATAAATAGCATATTTATATAAAATATAGTTAAGTAGAATGATCAAGCCAGACTGATGTCCAGTAATCTTTGCGTTGCGATATTTACATAGATAGACTTATTTGCGATCTAATTTCATGTAAGGCAAAGTTTCCACTGATTGATCCATAAAATGTCAATTTATGTTTACAACCGCAATTTCCTTCCTCTTTCCCTCCGGTCATTAGATGTAATTAAAGTAATGTAAATAATGACAAATGTAAGCTAAGTGAGAATCCATTTCTGGGGGGCTGAACCTTTATCTTATTCTAGAAGACAGAACTCACAAGTTTCCAACATCAGGGACAAGCTTTTCAGTCTCTCTCTCCAATCCCATGGGCCATAGCGAGGATAAGTCTTGGTGCTTGTCAAACAAGTCTCTTGACTAATGAAAAGTCTTCTTTTACAGTTAACGTAGCAGCCATTCACTGTATCAAAAAAGATGATAAATTTATCCAAAAAATTTTAAATCCATTCCATTTTTGTTAAATCAATCTCAAACCTTTTAATTATACTAATTCAGTCCTAAACCTTTTTTACATTTTGCCAATTGAGTCAATTCGATCAATTTTGACTGGAAATCGTTGACGTGGACGTCGGTGTTGACATAGACAATTTTTAATAATATCTTAATATTTTTTTGAATTTTTTATTTACTTTTAAGGTTAATACCACGAAAAACCCTAAACTGATACATCTGTGATAATTTTACCCTGAACTAATTTTTTCACCATAAAAAACTTTAAATTGGTATATCTGTGATAAATTTACCCCGATTTATTTTTTTGATCACAAAAAACCCCACACTGGTAGACTTGTGACAATTTTACTCCGAACTAATTTTTTGACCACTAAAAACCCAAACTGGTACATTTGTGATAAATTTACCATCTGTTAGTGTCCGTTAAATTGAATTAATATCGTGAAAAATTACAAATTTGTAAACTTGTGACAAACAGAGGGGTAAAACCCCAAACTGGTACACTCGTCAACTACCTCGTGTCATCAAACTTGGCAATTTGACAGTAAAATTTAACGGAAACTAACAGAGAGTAAATTTGTTACAGGTGTATTAATTTGGAATTTCTGAACGGTCAAAAAATTATTCCGGGGTAAATTGTCACATGTGTATCAGTGTGAGATTTTTAGTAGTCAAAAAATAGTTCGGGGTAAAATTATCACAGGTGTACCAGTTTTGGGTTTTTTGTGATAAAAAAAATAGTTTCGGGTAAATTTATTACAGGTGTACCAATTTTGAGTTTTTTATGGTGTTAACCCTTACTTTTTTTTTCTTCTCTTCTCTTTTCGTTCTTTACTTTTTACTTTTTTTCTTTTTTTTTTCTTTTCCCCTCTGCCGACCATGGCCGGGCCTCGTCGATGGCCGACGACCTCCGTCAGACTTAGGCGAGGGCTGCCTTTGCCTAAGGCCGGTGAACTCCTATGCCCCGATAAAACTCTCGCTCAAAATAGATATTTAAAGTTGTTTGCAATGCGAAACTAGAGTGCAAAACTTTAAAAATTTGCTCCGACTAAATCGTAATTCCAAATCGATTTTTGTTAAACCCCACGATTCCATAACACCATAAACTATCATTTTGTTACAATTTCTCAACTTAATAACTCCAAAATTAGACCACCCGCTTGGGTGGCGCTGCTGGAGCGCGCACTCTTCCTCTCGCAAAAGGTTGAGTGTTCGAATCCCGAGTGCCGCAGGATGACTTAACCGGTGCACGTGTGTGGTGGCTAGCACGTGTCGCCCCTAAGGTTTACCTCCCGGCTGTAGGCCGTGCAGGGTTCCTGGGTTATAAAAAAAAAAAAAAAACTCCAAAATTGGACCTCACAATTTAGAATTCACATAACTTTGAATTTATGTCCTAACTCTGAAAATTACTCTCATTATATGAACAAAGGGCTTGAATTTTTACCAGGCTCTACGAAACGAAATACGGACAATTTGTCGATTCGTCGAGGTCTTCAAGGCATGTAGGCAAAAAAATCCTTTGTCTTTTCTTTTCCCTTTCTCCTTCTCTCTTTCTTTCTTTCTTTTCACTTCTTTTTCCTTCCTTTCTTCTCTTCTTTCTTTTCTACGTGCCCTTATTACTTTTAGGGTTAATATCATAAAAATCTCAAACTAGTTCATTTATGATAATTTTATCAAAAACTAATTTTTAGGTTACCAAAAATCTAAAATTGGTCACGCATGACATATTTACCCTCCGTTAGTTTCCGTTAAATTTTACCCTGAAATTGCTGAGCTATATGACACATGACAATAACTTAGTTGATGTGGCAAGTTCACGTGGAAATCCATATCTCTTTCTCTTTGTTTCTTCAATTAGACCTAATTTGAAAACAAATAGGGTTCATTCTCTGTCTCCTCAAAGCACAACAAACACTATATCTTTCAACAAACTTGTTGATAGAGCTGGAAGATGACATGCTTCTCTTCGAACCCCTTCTAATTGAAGCCATTGAACATCCTAATTTGGTTATTTGGATGAGTTAGCAAACATGCCAGGAAAAAAAATCGAAAAACGAGAAGATGATTAGAGATAAAAGTGTGCACAAACAAGTTCCGCTGCCTAATCATGAAGATGACGTTGAAGGAGTGTGCTCGATGAAGAGAAAGACGAAGAAGAATTAGAGTGCTATGAAGGAGTGAGAGAATGAACTCTATTTGTTTTCAAATTAAGGCTAATTGCAGGAACAAAGAAAGAGAGTTATGAATTTGTACATGAACTTATCACATCAATTGAGTTATTGCCATATGTCATCCAGTTCAACATATCACGATAAAATTTAATGGAAACTAACGGAGGGTAAATATGTTACGTGTGTATTAGTTTGGGGTTTTTGATGACCTAAAAATTAGTTTGTGATAAATTTGTCATATGAGTACTAGTCTTGGGTTTTTGGTGATCCAAAAATTAGTTTGGGATATATTTATTACATGTGTACCGGTTTTGAATATTTTGTGGTATTAACACTAAATTTTATTACTATTTTTCCTTTTTCTCTTTTATTTTTATTTTAAGCCCACCGTTTTTTTACCCAGTCAAACCAAATATTACTCCACCAGTACCAAATCTCGGAGCCGACTTGTTCCACTCTGTCTCGCTGCTGCAGACACCATCTCTAAATAAAATCAAGAACCTGGAAATACCTCTTCACCATCATCTGTGCTCATAACTCGAGAGCTTCGCTCAGGTACGCATGTCACTAGCAGAATTGCAATTGTTTATCTCCATTCTTGGGTTATAATGGCAGCTTAATTCTGATTACTGATTAGTATTGATCTTTCATTTCCATTGCCATACCTGTAACTGGATTACATGCACATGATATAACAAGTACTCTGTCGATACTTTTTGGTTTTACTGATACCTATGTTGTTTGCTGCATACAGTCTAATATGCTTCACTCTGTTTCCATAGTTACTTGACTTGGAACTTATATAGGAATGGGACGTCTAGAAAAACTAAATATATGCTGATTAAGTTATCTTTGATCATGGTTGAAGTTCAAGCAAGGTTTCTAATTTCTAACAAGTAGATACTTGTTAACTCTGTATCAGTGATCAGGTTTGGGTGGCGAGCTTCTGTACGATTTTGAGATAGTGAATGACTATGGAGTCCAAATTCACTGAACTCACTTATTCTGTTGACGATGTCCAGGCTGACAGCCTCACTGACTCAGCCAACCCAGATCATTTCCCGTATCTCTCAGATGGGTTCAACGCAAATGAACTTTATGTTGATTTCCACTCCTCAGAGATTGACTCTCTCTTGCATGAGCAGGAACCCACAAATCATGTACCAATTGTTCCCATCATCCTTGATGGAGAACTGAATCGGCCATCCACGGAGGTGAGCCCCGATGGAGGCTTGCCCTTAGAGATTAACTCTCTCCTGCATGAGCAGGAACCCACAAATCATGTACCAATTGTTCCCATCATCCTTGATGGAGAACTGAATTGGCCATCCACAGAGGGGAGCACCGATGGAGGCTTGCTAAACAACTCCACAAGCTTCAGTGACGTACCAAATCTGGGGGGAGAATCTCTCTCCCTCTCAGATTACAGCGACTCACCAGATCCTGTTCTCAAATACATAAGTCAGATACTTATGGAAGAGGACATGGAGGAGCGGCCCTGGATAATACCTGATATGCTAGCTCTGCGACAGACCGAGAAATCTTTGTATGACACACTTGGCAAGGAATATCCCAATTCACCGGAGCAAAACATAGAATTCAATGCCAATCAATTCATCAACGGCACAAGCAACAACTCTCGTGGAAGTAGCCGTGAGCAGGGTAGTAATGGCACTAGCCATTCTTTTGATCCGGATTTACCAGATGATCCCGAAGAAACTCAATATTATGCTTCCCTTCGGGCCCCTAATCCTCGTGAAGTTGTTGCACAGTGGACCGTGGATCCCATTTCTCATTTCTACATGAATACTTCCAGCGGCTTGCCTGATTACTGGGATGAATTTGGTGACACCTTCCCAAGTGAGCTTCTACTTAGGAGGACATTGAGCAACAGTCAATGGCAGTTTAACAGAGGGTCTGAGGAGGCAAGAAAGTTCCTTTCTGCGAGCGTCCCTTTGACAGTGGATCAGGAGAACTATAATTTGGCTCATAAGATTGGAAACACTGAAGCTAATTGCATCGATGAGGAGGAGAATATGAGGAATCACCTAAAGAATGAATCGAGGGGGAGAAAGAATCACTATAGGGACGATGTGACTTTTGAAGAAGGGCGGGCCAACAAGCAATCTGCATTATATAAGGAAGATTGTGAGCTCTCGGAAATGTTTGATAAGGTGTTGCTCACTGACAATACGGGGGGGCTTCTATCATTAGAGTGCACATCTGAGAAGACAAGCCAAAGCAAAGACCTGCCTGGTCCTAATTGTAGAAGGGGCAGTCGTCAGAAGAAGAGCACAGCGGACTTAAGGAGTCTTTTGGTTCTCTGCGCACAAGCTGTTTCAGCTAGTGACTTCAAAACAGCTCATGAACTACTAAAGCAAATTAGACACGATTCTTCCCCATCTGGGGATGGATCTCAAAGATTAGCTCATTACTTTGCCAAAGGGCTGGAAGCACGCCTAGCAGTCAGTATTGACCGAAATCAGGCTCAAGGTTGTTACTGTCGTTTTGAGCTCTTTAGAACGATAGCCGATGAGCTGAAAGCATGCCAACTCCATCTTTCAGCCTGTCCATTTATGAAATTCCAAATCATCTTTGCAAAATTCATGATTCTGAAATTTGCAGCTGCAGCAAAGGTGCTTCATATAATAGACTTTGGTATTAATTTTGGTTTTCAATGGCCACTACTTATCCAGGAGCTCTCGAAGAGAACTGAAGGAGCTCCTAAGCTGCGAATCACAGGAATAGATCTTCCACAATCTGGATTTCGACCAGCCGAAAAAATTGAGGAGACAGGTCGTCGTTTGGCCAACTATTGTGAGCGCTTTAATGTTCCCTTTGAGTTCCATGCAGTAGCATCAGGGAGCTGGGAATGTATCAGGATTGAGGATCTCAAGATTCGAAGTGGCGAGATGGTTGCTGTGAATTGTCTTTCTCGGCTTAAATATCTTTATGATGAGACAGTTGAGGAGAACTGCCAGCGCGATGCTGTCTTAAGGCTGATCAGGAGTATGAAACCGAATGTCTTTGTTCATGGTATAAATAACGGGTCCTATAACATGCCCTTTTTCTTAACTAGATTCCGCGAGGCTCTTTTTCACATCTCCGCAGTGTATGATATGTTTGATGCTACTGTGGCTGGTGACAATGAACAGAGGTTGGTTTTGGAGAGAGAGTTATATGGACGAGAGATTATGAATGTTGTGGCATGTGAAGGTTTACATAGGGTTGAGAGGCCCGAAACATATAGGCAGTGGCAAGTTCGTCTCACTAGGGCAGGTTTCAAGCAGCTTCCTCTTGATCAGGAGCTCATGAAGAAGGCTAGGGCAAAGTTGAGGAAATGTTACCACAAAGATTTTGGGCTTGACGAAGAAAGCAACTGGATGCTGCTTGGTTGGAAGGGCCGAATAATATCTGGTTCCACATGTTGGGAATCCACATAGGTAAGTGTGTTTTCTAACATGACATCCAACAATTAGTGAGATTCTTCCTGAACTGCCATTGCCAGGCAAGGAATATCTGTGAGAGAAGCTGAGATACTGGTCCTTTCTCCTTTGATCTACTTGCAATATGGGTGCATTTATTGGCTGGTTAGCTTCTTTTGAGCTAAATCATGTGACTCTTTCCTTGCAGATCATATGAAGCAGCAAATACACTTTTATGAAATGTGTTGAGCAGGAGCAGGATCTCAATTAAATAAAGGGGACGCATTGTGTGGAAGACAAGTATACTGATGGTCAATAGGGTTTGGTTTTCTGTGAAGTGCAGTGCCAAGTTAAGAATGTTAGTATCTTGCTGAGGCAGGGGACCTCTGCTTCTTACTTGAAAGATAATGGATGCAAACCAGAATTGTGTTATATCTATGGTTGCGGCTCAGTATCCAGGACTTGCTTATGGTTTTGGCGAGATAGCTGGCAATTCTTGCTTTACTACTCTAAATGTGTGGAATTCTCTTAGCTTTTCTGTAGCGGTTATGCTGGTTTTATTATTCTATAGTCCATGCTTGTTTGTTCTTACTTTAGTCATTTTGATTTCTAGTTTGATGTAATTGGAACTATTTTGTAGTTTAGTGTAATTTTAGTTCTTCATCTTTACTTTATCGAACTGAGCTCTTATTATTTTCATAAGATTCTTCTTTAAATTCCGGAATCATCATACTTTATCTTCTGTAAGTACCTTAAGAGCAGCTGCAAATGGTCCAGAAAAATCTTCAAAGATGAAGCTTTTAACTATTGTTAGCTCCTATCATCTAATAATCTATGGGATACATATGACTTGATTTGCTTAAATATGCATAGTCAAGTTTCAGTGAAAGTAAAGCACTGATTGATGGTTGAACAAACCTGGACCTGCAACTGGAATGTGGTCACTGAGGATTGTTCCTGTATCATTTCAACAATCAATGTGCAAGTTTACATGCAACCTTCATATTGAATGAAGTTTGCTCTCTCAACTGCAATGAATTATGTTGCTTGTTTTGATATGGATGCAAAAGAGATTCTGAAAATGCCAATTCTAATGAGGGCCAACGGGATTTGCAATTAAATTGTGACAAGTGACGGCACTCTTAAAATCTGAAACCAAGTTACGGGCAGTTTGTGTGCAATTCTTAGATAGAAGCTCCAGCCAAAAAGAACATCTCGAAAGAGGTTCTCATCTGAAGATAAAGTGTTAGCATTAAAGTTATAGTTGATGTGATGAGGTCATCCTTGTGTAAACGGTAGATGACGAAGGATAATCACGCGTAAATGGCGTACATTTTTTGTCAAATTAAAAGATATGAGACGAGAATTGCCACGATTTAAGCCGAAACACAGCAAGAATCTGATGAGAAAGATTAAAACTAACTTGCAAGCTGAAGGATGATCAGCCTTTTAATGAGCTGACCATGTTGATACGGGGTATCTACCGATTGTCCCGTGTCATCGAATTCACTGGCTACTCGATTATTCTTCAGCCGATTTTGACCTTTGGTGGAAGGATTATCAAAAAACTGTGTTTTCAGATCCTCTGGACCCGATTCTTTCAAAAATAAGATATGCTGTTCCTCCTATAGCATCAAAAGCAATTGAGGCTGTGAATACGCCTCCAACCAAGTCAATAGAACCCTCCAAAGGTAATTTGATTCTGATTTTTAATATATGTTTTGCTTGATTTTCAGCCTCCCATTTAACATCATACTCTCGCAGTGAACAAGAAAAGAAAGACTTCAGACTCTATTGTTCCAAAGAAAGCACCATCAAAACGCGACTTTAGAAAAGTAACTATTCGTTCCTCAGAATCTCCAGAGAATCCTCCAACATTTGATCAATCTTCAGAGCTCACGCTTCGAGCTATGATGAAACCGCGCCTACCAAAAGGTACTTCTCTTGCTCTATTTATGGAGACTAGCAATGTGCATGTTAGCACTAACCTGTATATCTTTTGATTAATCCACATATTCCCAAGACTGATCCATCCAGTTTTGCTTCCCCTGTTCCTTCTCCTAGCAAGGCTCTTATCATATCAGCCCCAAATCTTTCACCAGTAATTCCTACTTCTTTGATAGAAGTTACTGCTGAGTTGATTCAAGATCAACCTCCTATTTCAAATTCCCAAGAGGGTATACCAACGCAGATACTTCTACCAATGTCATAGAACCCGAAGAAAATCTTCCTCTAGCTCTTCTGGTAAATGTCATTGCCCCGTATTTGACTCGAAATTTCTATTCGCTTATCGATATACATATGTTACGCTACAACTTCGACATACCGCTTCGCACCTCAAGAGATTCCAACGCCCGAAGAAACGACGATTCAGAACCTTTGAATGTGCAAGTGCCACCAACTTCTCGGGATTATCTCGCTTTACCTCCCTCAACATCCTCTCTGTGCCCAATCCATGCTCGGATAGAAATTTTCTCTTTAGCGAACGGGAGGAGTTGGAAAGAATATTGGCAGGTACTCATCCCAGTTCTTCAATGACTGCTGACTCCTCAGGGCCTTCAACTTTGTCAATGCTTGCCGAAGTTCCTAGAGAAGTGGCTAAAGCTAAATAGGAACAGCTCTTAAACCTATTAGAGCCTGGTTATGGGAAATTGATCATCGACTCTAACAAAGAACGCCAAGCGAGGAATCTTTTCCAGGAAATATGCTCTGGCCATCCATCCTTTATCTTGTCGGATTCTTTTCAAGACAAGATTGATCTCTTCATTGTTGACTTTGTAGATCGTGACTACAATCGAGTCAATCTTGATCATCTCCCCCATCTTCTCTTTGGAGAAAGCCGAGGACTGGCAATCCAGGATGAGTTAGCCCACAAGCGTGAAGATGCTCGTCTCTTCTATAATCATTTTACGGTTGAGGCAAGCAAACTTAAAAGCTTGGAGGCCGAAAACGGTAACTTGAAGCGGAGTGAGGATGGTGGATGCTCAAATTATAGATCAGAAATTCACAGTCTCAAACTTTTCTCCCACACTTAGACGCAAGATGCGAAATGTAGGGAATTGGAGAGAGAGTTTGATAATACTATTGGGTTAGTTAGGGTTCATGAGAAGAAAAGGGCAGAGATTATGGATGAAAACTACAGGCTAGAGATTAGATTAAGAGACTTTGTAACTGAAGCCAAGACCCTATTGGCTAATTGGAGATAAAATGTCGAAACCATTTGTTGGATTCCATTTTTGGTCTTCCTTGCATTTGCTTAATTGTAAAATATCCTGACAGAGCAAATTCCCGATGCTGTATATTCAAATGTAGGATATCCCGATAAAGCAAATTCCCGACGATGTATATTTTAGCAATCGGTAACTCAAACGTTCTACCCAAATGTCGCTCTTTATCTCTCGTGCGGTTCTTTTGGATATCCGAATCAACTCAAAGATAACTGTTCCACTCGCAACTGCGAATCGAAAGATCAAACGCTTACCTTTCCTATCATTCATTCTCTCTAAACTTATTGGTTACCAACTTAATAACTCGCTTATCCACACGCATGAATCAAATTCCATCTCCATCCCATCTCTCCGAGAAAATTCGACACATCATCCTCCACGATCCGCTCCATTTATAATCTGTTTAAGCTTGCCACAGATTCCCCGCAAACTCACAATCCTCGTTCATGATGTCTTCACATGGTTCTTCATCTCGGCTGCTTCTTTGGTCTCAATCATAGAATGGTCGTAATACTTATGAAGGTAAACTTTCTACCTGACCTTTGACTACCATTCTTCATTCCCTTTAACATGACAACTTGCTTCATTCTCTATAGGTGATCGATCCTTATGGAGGCAACTACATGAACTGCTGTCCCAAGAACACCATGCTTTATTATTGAACAACAATCATAAGGTAGAAGTTACCAACCTGACAGACTTCTTCAGATCCAAAGTATTTCGTCTCCAGATTCTACCTTCTCGGATATGGTCTCGGGAGCTATGTTCTTTATTCCCGATAACTTTGATGCATTCAAACATAATGTGAGGAGATTTGGAATTTGGAACCTGTTGTTGTGGAAGCTGATGCTCTTCAACTTCATATTGAAAAGGAGTTTTCCCGATTGCAAGATTCTAAGGCTGAATATGCTCAAACCCAAGAGTCTTGTATTCAAGCTTAAGATGACGTTGAGATGGCACGTCGACTCCTTACTTTCTTTTTGAATCATCGTTGTGTAGAACAGAGAGTGATCAGAGATGAAATCTCTCAAGTTAGATCCATGGTTGCGTTTCTTCAAACGTGCATGTGCGGTTGCTTCGAGAAGCTTGGGAGAAGTTTGAAGTTGTCCGCTTCCATTCTCGTCACATGAAGTATCTTGAAGAACAACTTTATGAACTTCACCCGAATCTTGCCTTACATTCTAATCTTGTAGCCCAAAATCTCAAACTTGTTAAGGATATGCAAATCTTTGTAACCAAGATCAGAATGTATTTTGACTTCTAGTGGATGAATAAATCTCCTTATGTTTCCCAGATTGATGGATGATATTTCTTCAGGAATTTCCCATTTATAGAACGTGATAGTTCTTTTCCATTGACGTCCATTAACTTATATGCGTTCCCACTCAGCACTTCGGTAACTAAATAGGGTCCTTCCCAATTTGATGACCATTTACCGAATTCTCTATTTTGGAGATTAAAAGGCAGTATCGCTTTCCATACTAGATCCCCCACCACAAACTGCTTAAATTTAACTCTTTTATTAAAAGTTCTGGCTACTCTTCTCTTTTGTGCAATCAATTGATCCAAAGAAGCCGCACGAACCTCATCTAGTTCATCCAGATTTATATGCATCCAATCTTTATAATCTTCAGGCAACATTTCACTCTGTAATTGGACTCTTAAAGATTGCACTGTTATTTCCATTGGTAAAACTGCCTCTTGTCCATATGTAAGCATATAAGGGCGATACTGCATACTTGATCTTCGTGACGTTCGGTATGCCCATATCGTTGACAATAAAGTATCCCATTCCCTTGGATTTTCTTCTAGATGTTTCTTGATAAGACCAATAACAACCTTGTTAGTAGCCTCAGCTTGTCCATTTGCCTGAGGATAGTACGGTGTGGAATAAATCATTTTGATTCCTCTTGATCGCGCAAATTCCTTTACTTCACTTCCGGTGAACACCGTACCTTGATCGCAGTAATTGATTCGGCAAGCCGAATCGATGAATTATATTTTCCTCCATAAATTTGATCACAGTCTTTTGTGTTATACTCTTGTATGGAATGGCCTCCACCCACTTCGTAAAATAATCTGTGGCTAACAAAATGTAACTGTGCTTATGAGAAGAGGGTGGGTAGATCTTACCAATTATATCCATTGCCCATCCTTTAAATGGCCACGGCTTTATAACAGAATGGAGCTCCATAGCAGGTACATGTTGCAACGGTCCATGTTTTTGACATGAAAGACATGCTTTGGCATAATTGATACAATCCTGCATCATTCTTGGCAAAAAATATCCATACCTTTTTAACAGCCATCTCATCTTGATTCCTGCTTGATGAGCTTCACATACGCCTTCATGTGTTTCTGCCATAACCAATTTTGCATTATCTTCATCAAGACAACGCAAGAGCAATCCATCTGAGGATTTTCGGTATAATTCTTCTCCTAATACG